TTTATGCCTTCTTCCTGGACTGACCTCAGCCTGTTAAATCGACAATGTTTTTTGCTTGCCGCTTGGATTGATCTTTTTCCCTGCTACTGCAGTGGTGGGATTCAAGATAACACAGGAATCTCACATACCGTATTTTCCGGCGTATAAGACGACTGGGCGTATAAGACGACCCCCCTACTTTTCCTGTTAAAATATAGGGTTTGAGCTATACTCGCCGTATAAGACTACCCCTCTTCCAACGCACACCAAATGAAAAAACATCAGATTTGATTTCAATATGGTATGCTATTTCAGTATGGTATTCCAATGATGAGGCACTACTCCTCCCACTAACACCAATGATGGGGCACTATTTCATCCACTGACACCAACGATGGGGCACTATTCCTCCCACTGATACCAATGATGGGACACTATTCCTCCCACTGACACCAATGATGGTGCCCCATCATTAGTGTCAGTGTGTGAGGAATAGTGCCCCATCATTAGTCAGTGGGAGGAATAGTGCCCCATCATTAGTCAGTGGGAGGAGTAGTGCCTCATCATTGGTGTCAGTGGGAGGAATAGTGCCCCATCATTAGTTAGTGGAATAGAGCCCCATCATTGGTGTCAGTGGGAAGAATTGTGCCCCATCATTGGTGTCAGTGGGAGGAATAGTGTCCCATCATTACTGTCAGTGGGAGGAATTGCGCCCCATCATTGGTATCAGTGGGAGGAATAGTGTCCCATCATTAGTGTCAGTGGGAGGAATTGCGCCCCATCATTGGTGTCAGTGGGGAGAATAGTGCCCTATCGTTGGTGTCAGTGGGGAGGAGGAATAGTGCCCCATCGTTGGTGTCAGTGGTTAGCAGAAGTAGTGCCCAAACGTTGGTATCAGTGGGAGGAATAGTGCCCCATCATTGGTGTCAGTGGGGGAGGAATAGTGCCCCATCATTGGTGTCAGTGGGGGAGGAATAGTGCCCCATCATTGATATCAGTGGGGGGAGAATGGTGCCCCATCATTGGTGTCAGTGGGGAGGAGGAATAGTGCCCCATCATTGGTATCAGTGGGGAGAACAGTGCCTCATCGTTGGTGTCAGTGGGGGAGGAACAGTGCCTCATCGTTGGTGTCAGTGGGGGAGGAACAGTGCCTCATCATTGGTGTCAGTGGGGGAGGAACAGTGCCTCATCGTTGGTGTCAGTGGGGGAGGAATAGTGCCTCATCGTTGGTGTCAGTGGGGGAGAACAGTGCCTCATCGTTGGTGTCAGTGTGGAGGAGGAATAGTGCCCGATCGTTAGTGTCAGTGGGGGAGAGGAGCGGCTGCTCCTTCTTCAAGTTCGGCCGCTCGATTTTTCGCGGGGCCGCTCGGCTCCGCCTCCTCGCCGGTGATTGGTCGCCTGTGTGCCTTTCCAGTGCTGGCGCCCAATCACCGGTGAGGAGGCGGAGCTGAGCGGCCGCGTGACCATCGAGCGGCCGAACTGAAAGAGGGAGCAGCCGCGCTTCCTGGACCGGATCGTCGTGGGACCAGAGCCAGGTAAGGTACAGCAGCCCCTCTGCCCACCCCTGTACTTAGTGTCCGCCGCGCCGCCCCTCGAAAAAGTGCCACTCTGACCCGGCTCGCACCGGTGTATAAGACGACCCCCGACTTTTCAGAAGATTTTCAGGGGTTGAAAAGTCGTCTTATACGCCGAAAATACGGTATGTGAGGGACATCAGAGTAGAAAAAAACAGTTTTTGGTTTTGTCCGGGTTTTGTAATTCCAGGAACAGGGTCTGTTTGTCTGGAGGCTTCAAAGAGATTGGGTGGGACAAAGCCTCTACCCCTGTGTCCTGGTCCTACCTGACCAAGGCCCTAAGCCTGATGTTCCTGCCTGTTGCCTGGACCAATACTTTGGCTGTGTTGGCCATATCTCCTTTTGCTACCTATACTGACCCAAGACGTTTTCGGACCATGTTCCTGCCTGCTGCCTGGACCAATACTTTGGCTGTGCTGACCAAATCTCTTCCTGCTGCCTGTACTGACCCAGGACTTTTTATGGACCATGTTCCTGCCTGTTGCCTTGACTAATACTTTGGCTGTGCTGACCATATCTCCTCTTGCTACCTGTAGTGACACAAGACATTTTCGGACCATGTTCCTGCTTGCTGCCTGGACCAATACTTTGGCTGTGCTGACCATATCTGCCTGCTGCCTGTACTGACCCAAGACTTTTTATGGACCATGTTTCTGCCTGCTGCCTGGATGTCAGCCTGCTGCCTGTTCTGACCCTGGCTTGTTTATTCACCATATTCCTGCCTGCTGCCTGGGTGATTCCTGTAGCTGTTGCCTGCTTTCTGGTCCAATGCTCTCCTCTGCGGACAACTGCTCTCCTAAGACCACAGGTAATGTTTTGCTTATCCTTTCTGCAGCTAGGCTGTGAAAGGGTCTCACATATGGTATTGTCACGTTCAGGAGGAGTAGCAAAATGTATTTTTGAGTATAAAAGAAATATCCTATAAATTGACAACTTTGTGTAAAAAAAATACTTTTTCATTTTCCTTCCACATTTTCCAAAAACTTGTGGAAAAAAATTACATGTTCAAAAGACTCATTATGCCTGATAGAATATACCTTGGGATGTTTGTTTTCCAAAATGGGGTCATTCTGTGGGTGTTTCCATCAACCTGGTGCTCCAGGGCCTTCAAAACTGTGGTAGGTAGTCAGGAAATTAGATATGTAATTTATACTCCTTTTATGCTCCTAGAATGCGTGAAGGTGCTACTTGGATGTTGGGTCTCTGTATGTGGCAAGCCTGTGGAAAACTCACATACAGTATGTGGTATCGCCATGCTCAGAAGGAGTAGTAGAATGTATTTTGGAGCATAATTCTTGGTATGTACATGCTGTATGTTAGAAATATCTTATAAATTGACAACTTTGTGTGAAAAAAAAGTTTTCATCTTTCTTTCCACATTTTCTAAAAACTTTTGGAAAAAAATAACATGTTCAAAAGACTCATTATGCCTGATAGAATATACCTTGGGGTGTTTGCTTTCCAAAATGGGTCATTCTGTGGGTGTTGTCCTGGTGCTCCTCGGCCTTCAAAACTGTGATAGGTAGTCAGGAAATTAGATGTGTAATTTATGCCCCTTTTATGCTCCTGGAATGCATGAAGGTGCTACTTGCATGTTGGGTTTTGTGCGTGGCAGGTTGTGTAAATGTTTCACATGTGGTATCCCCACACTCAGGAGGAATAGCATATTGTGTTTTGAGGTGCAATTGCAAGTATGTCTATGCCAGGTGTGAGAGATAACTTGTTATTTTGACAATTTTGTGTGAAAAAAAAAAATTATTTCTTCATTTTCCAAAGAATTGTGGGAAAAAATTACAACTTCAAAAAAATCACCATGTCTTTTACTAAATACCTTGGGCTGCCTATTCCAAAAAAAGGTATTTTGGGGACTATTTGAACTTTCCTACAATGTAAGGACTTGTTAACACTTGACTTTATTTCTAACTCTTGCCAAACGCCCCTATAGCGTTTGACAGGCGTTTGGGAAGCGTTTTTAACACTCCTCAAACGCCCTATGCACGTTTCGTAGACTCTATAATTTTCACACTAACAAACTAACAAGAACTGGAAGACTTTTGTAAGGAAGAATGGGCAAAGATACCTCAAACAAGAATTGAAAGACTCTTGGCTGGCTACAAAAAGCGTTTACAAGCTGTAATACTAGCCAAAGGGGGCAGTACAAGATATTAACTCTGCAGGGTGCCCAAACTTTTGCAGACGCCATTTTTTTGTTTTCTGTTATTTTGAAAGTGTAAATGATGGAAATAAAATCTAACTTTTGTTGACATATTATAAGAATGTCCAATCTGTAATTTGATGCCTTTTGGAGATTTTTCCATCTTTCCTTGGCTTCTATATGCACATTAATACAAATTTTTAGCTGGGGTGCCCAAACTTTTGATCCCCACTGTAGCTGTTGACTTTTAAAATACAGACACTTAGCTGTCCCTCGGTCCAGCAGTGTCCTCACCATGGCTGGTCTCCCTCACCATCTGTCTTCTCTCTCCAGCGCCGGCATCTTTATTGTGGGCACCCGACTGTGACAGCTTGTGGCTTCAGAGCCGGGTGCCCACTGCGCATGTGCAAGAAGCACTACGCTTTGTGAATGGCCCTGTAGTCTTTTGGGACCTGTCACATGTCCCAGAAGACTACGGGGAGGGAGGACAACTTCCGCTTCCGATCGCCTAGGCGATCGCAGCGGAAGTGGGAGCGGGTACCTGTCAAATTCGGTTACCCGCTCCCCAAAGGTGCCAATCCTTAATGGAGAGCAGGGGATAAAGGATTAAAGTGGAACTTCCCCTTTTGGGTGGAGCTCCACTTTAATTACCACCAAACGAAAGCGCTCTTTGTGTGAAAAAAAATGAAAAAAAAATGTAATATGGGTACAGTGTTGCATGACTGCGCACTTGTCATTCAAAGTGCAACATCACTGAGAGCTGAAAACTGGCCTTTACAGGAAGGGGGTATAAGTGTCCTGTATGTTAGTGGTTACACACGCAAACAAAAAAGGACGAAAAAGGCGCACATTAACATGACGCGCCAATGTGAATGGGGCCATATCCCCACAGAGGCCACAGCTTGGTCACTATCAGGAAGCCAGTCCTCAGCTACAATGCCTGGCTGTTTCTGAAGCAAGTGCATGTGGCTGAGATTAGCAGCACTGAAAGGCAACAAAAAAACTAAAAGAAAAAACAAAACACATGGCAATAGTATATGGTGTCATGTAGTTTTCATGTGCTATAATAGGAAACCCCTGGGCAGAAGCAAGCATGTGGGAAACCAAGCCATGTCTATGTAGAAGAAATGTGAGGTATGCCTGTCTCCTATCATCCCCAGTCTGAGGAACTGAAAGGAAGGCAGACTCTGGCACAGCCCTCCGCCTGTCCTCACTCCCTCACAGTGTAAGAGGCTGAACCGGGCTTCCGCTTCCTCCGGTCACACATGGCTGCCAGCTCAGGCTCCGAGGACATGGAGGCGGCGGTGGCGGGCTGCGAGCACTATACCCGGGGCTGTGAGCTGAGGGTGAGGAGAGTCGGGGGGGATGGGACAGTGGGGTGCGGGGATGGTCCCAGTGAATGGTGTGCTCTTCTCACCCCGCTCTGATACACACAGCTCACCCCGTGTCCGTCCACTGCACTGGGAGCAGATAATGTCCCAGCCATTACTGGAAGCTTCACCCTTGTTAGCTCTTTGTAGTTCCACTCCATTTTTAGTGAAGTGCCCCCCCTGTGTGCAGCATTAGCCCCCCTGTTTTCTCCCAAGCCCCCATTACCCACAGTAGTGTGCTACAACGTGCATCTTGATAGACCTTCTGAATGTCATAGCAATGCATCAGCATGCGTTGCCGCCATTCAACTCTGAGGCCTTGTCCACACAGGTGTGATGCGATTATGTAGTGCGAGTTGGCGATTTTGTTGCGTGTTTATGACGCAGTTTTATGCCTTGGGTGCTGCTGCTGGCTTATTGAGGACCAAGAATTTCCTGGGAGGTGAGTTGTGCCCCGGGTCACATTAATGCGGCTGTAAGCCTGGGTTCACACTGATGCGGTGCGGGATTCTCACCAGTTTCTCTGTGAATTCAGCACGGCATCAGAGTCACACCCCTTTTAGGTGAACCGCTGCAGGTGTGTATGTTAAGTTAACAACACCCCGAAATCGGTTTGCAAAACAGTGCGTTGTGCAGAATAGGATTCATATCCATGCGATCTGATTCTAGTGTAGACGAAAAAAAGGGTGCTGTGCCATTTTGATGCAGTGCGATTTGAGCCACACAAAATGTAGGGCTCAAATCGCACCTCACAGAATTCGCATGTAATTTGCACAGGAATGCGGTGCTGTTCCTGTGCAAATCGCATGCTATATACCTTAGATTGTAAGCTCCTTGAGGGTTAGGGACAGATGTGAATGTACAATATATATGTAAAGCGCTGTGTAAATTGATGGCGCTATATAAGTACCTGAAATAAATATGCCGCGCCACGCAAGTGTGAACCCAGGCTAAAGGATAAGTTCACCTTTTGTAACATGTTACACCCATATTCGGGGTGTAATATGTTACGATCGGACTGCCCCCCCCCCCCCCCCCCCCCCCCCCCCACCACACACACACTTTGACAGATAGTGGGGGATCTTCTCCCCCGACTTTTGCCAAATTTAAAAAGAAGTGACCATGTGGGGCTCCGCCCACACAGCCGCGTCACTTATTTACAGTCATCTGTGAATGAGAGACTACAAGTCCTGACAGCCTAAGCAGCCATCAGCTTGTAGTCTTCAATGAACTGCCACGGTGCTACGAAGAGCTGTAATCGTTTATTCATTCTTCCTGTCAGTGTATCTGCTTGCTCATATATCCTATATGATGCCAGCAGATATACTGACAGATCTGCAGGAGACCTGCATGGCACCAGCGATTTACTGATCGTTGGTGCAATGGTTTACAGGCTCCTGCAGACAAAAATAAGAAATGCACATTTTTTTTTTACCTGCAAAAAAAGTACATTTATTATTTTTGTGCAAAAGGTAAACTTCTTTAAAACTGCACAAAAGTTTGACAGCCGACTTTTCTGCGTGACTTCAATGCAGCTTGTTGTCCCTCATTGTGACTTTATTAACACATGTCAATGCAAGTCGCAAGGAAATAGTGCAGGGACCTTTTCAAAGTTGCTGCAATTTGAGTCGTACCTTGCCGGTAACGGGATGCGACTTGTCATGCAACTTCAAACCGGTAAGTTGCATAACAAGTCGCACTGGTGTGAATTGGGGCTGAAGGTTAACCTCCCTAGCGGTCTGATTATGTCCATATTTCTGTGCTCAAAGCGGTACTTTTTTTGCATGGAAATATGTATTTTTTTTTATTATAGGCCTGTAATTTTTAGGAATAACTCACTGAAATCTGTCCGAAACAAGAGTCTAGTAAACATCCCGGGTATGATAAAATTTGAAACATGAATTAATAAATTATAATATAATAAATAATCATAAAAAATAATAATATAATAATAATACATTTAATTCAATAATATAATCAAACCAAAAACACTGAAATTTGAAATAGAGCGCCAAGTTGAGCAAAGTCGCAAAATCATTTTCAGTGTCTGATGACGAATTTCCCCACGAATCATTATCACTCAATTCTGCAAGTGGTTCTAATTTACTATCGCTGTTCTCTAGCTGGTCTAAAACCGCTTTTGACATAAAGGGACGCTTTTTGGACACCTTGGACGTTTCTCAGTTTCCAGGCAGAAAGAACGGTAAAAATGCAGGCAGGGCACAGGACAAAGCACTCGGGACAAAATGTATGTGAAATGTTTGATACAGTAATGTTTTACTATGTGATTTTAGTGAATGTCACTTTTTGTCATTTTCAAATTTCCCGCCGTTCCGTCCCCCGTACGTCCCAACGCTCGCAGGGGACGGAATTCAGATGACAGATGCCGGCATCCGCCGGAGGACATTACCGGGGACACTGCAGGAGGGACATCGCGGGAGTGAAGGACAAGGTAAGTGATCGAGGGATCGCGGAGCAGCACTGCATGGTATTCCGGAGTGTAGCTCGGGGTTACTGCTTGTGGTACTGAAACTTTACCCCGAGCTACACCCGGGAATACCGTCAGGGAGGTTAAAGAAATTAAACTGCTTTCCAAATTGCATCAGAAACACAAGTACATGTGATTTCTGTGTGTTCCCATTGAAGCCTATGGAGCCACTATCGCAATGGAATCACACCAAAGTAGTATAGAAAATTTTCCAAAATCACACTGTCCTGAGTCACCTTAATGTGAACAGACAAATGTGATTTCCATTGCCATGCAATTCTGTGCAACGCAAGTCACATCTGAAATCACATTAGTGTGAACCAGGCCTCAGTGTTATGTAGGCCATAGACGGGTCGAAAATCTGCCGATTTTTCGGCCAAAAAAAAATTGGCGATTTTCGCACCGTTAATGGGTTAATTGGTCAGCTGTTTTTCGGGGTTTTGGCACATTTTTTTTTATCAGTGAAGTTGGAAAAAAATCGGCCGATTTTCGCGGCAATGGTGGGCAAATCGGCCGTTCTTTTTACCGATAAAAAATCTGAGCCATGGCCTGCAAGAAAAAGAATACGAATTCATGTCCGCTGGTATATTTGACATGAAAAAGTATTGCGGTTGCAACAACTTATCTATTTGTATCCGAATAAAAACATCTGTATCCGAAATGCTTACAAATAGATACATTGTTGCAACCGTGATACTTTTTCATGTCAAATATAATAACAGAGCTCTCTGCAGGGACAGAAGTAATTAAATGCCGGCTGTAGACGGGCCGAAAAGACGAAAATCAGCCAATTATTTTTTTTTTTTCTTACCGTTGGTGGTAACGTCGGCCTATTGAACGACCGATTTTTCGGGATTTTTTTTTTTTTTTTTTTTTTTTTAAACAGCTGATTTTCGACCCGTCTATGGCCTGCATAAGTCATAACTTCAGCCGTAAGTCATAACATTTGCTCCGTTTTTGGGCCTGCAGACACCCTTGTCAAAGCTTCATATACAGATCTGTAAAAGCTTTGTATGGCGATCCTCTGTGTATCGGGGAATGTGATCCCAGACCGTACAGATGAGCTCAGGCTTAGGGTGACCAATGGATAGGCTGTCCTCCATTAATCAGGACTAGGTGACAGCCGCACACACAGTACTTTGAAGAAAGCAGCTATTAGGCTTGTTTCACACAAGCTTCAACTTGAGGAAGAGCAGTGTTAACAGCAAGCTTTCACACAGCATTTCCAGAACTTGTTGAAGCTTTTAAAGTAGCATTCAGTTTGTAAATGCTGAACAAAGATCCTAATGAGAGTGCTGAACGTCACGCTGAACAAGCTGCTAGTAGGCTGCAGCAAGCTTTCAACAAGCTTCAAGAAGTTCTGAAGCCTGCTAGCAGCTTGTTTAAAGTGGCAATCGTTACTCCCATTAGGATCTGTGTTCAACATTTACAAACTGAGGCTGAATGGTTCTTTAAAAGTTTCAACAAACCTCTGCATATGCTTTGTCAGTGCTTGCTTTTCACACTGCTCTACCATCATGCGCTCTATGCATGAAGGTAAAAAACCAGTGTGCAGCAGCCCTCCCTAATACTCACCTAAGCCCCCTCTCAATCCAGCGATGTGCACTGGATCCTTGGCTATCCCGGGGCTCCCTCTTTTCACTGGCTGAAACAGAAGCGGGAGCCAATGGAAAGAGAGTGGGGGTGGGGCCGATCCTTGGCTCCTTGTGTGAATTGACACACAGAGCAGCAGGTGCCCCCATAGCAAGCTGCTTGTGGGGACACCTGACAGGAGGGAGGGGCCAGGAAAGCCTGTGGGGGACCCGAGAAGAGGAGGATCCAGGCTGCACACAGCAGGCAAGTATAGACATGTTTGTTATTTTTTCTTTAAAAAAAGTAAACCACTTGCCCTTCTTAGGATTTAACCCCCTTCCTGACCAAGCCATTTTTTGTGTTACATCGCTGCGTTATATTACTTGACAATTGTGCAGTCATGCTATGCTGCACCCAGATTTATGTCCTTTTTTTTCCCCTCAAATAGAGCTTTCTTTCTGTGCTATTTGATCGCCTGTGCATTTTTATATTGTTTGTGCTATCGAAAAAAAAACAAAAAGACGGACAATTTTGAGAAAAAAAACGTATTTTTGACTTTTTCCTATTAAACATGTCCAGTAAAAAAATTTTAAAAATCAAATTCCATCCTAAATTCAGGTCAAAATGTATTCTGCTACATGTCTTTGCTAAAAAAAAAAAAAATCCCAATACATGTAAATTAATTGGTTTGCTTGAAAGGTATAGTGTTTATAAATGGCTGTATAGATACCGTATTTGCCGGCGTATAAGACGACTTTTTGACCCTTGAAAATCTTCTCAAAAGTCGGGGGTCGTCTTATACGCCGTACACACATGTTAGGGGGCTGCGGCATTAAGTACAGGGGTTTGCAGGGGCTGATGTCTCTTACCTGGATCCAGTCCCACGACGATCCGGTCCAGGAAGCGCGGCGTCTCCTTCAGTTCGGCCACTGGATGTTAGTGCGGCTGCTCGGCTCCGCCTCCTCACCGGTGATTGGCCGCCAGAACTGTAGCTCAGGAAAGTCACACAGGCGGCCAATCACCGGCGAGGGGGCGGAGCCGAGCGGCCCCGCGAAAATTGAGTGCCGCAGCAGCAGGTAAGTGTTCTATGTAGAGGTGCTGCTGCAAACACATATGCTGGCTGCAGCAGCACCATACGAGAACAGGGTCAGCAAGTCTCAGTGGGAGGAATAGTGCCCCATCATTGGTGTCACTGATACCAATGATGGGGCACTATTCCTCCCACTGATACCAACGATGGGGCACTATTCCTCCCACTGACACCAACGATGGGGCACTATTCCTCCCCCCCACTGACACCAACGATGGGGCACTATTCCTCCCCCCCCACTGACACCAACGATGGGGCACTATTCCTCCCCCCCACTGACACCAACGAAAACCGTTCACTATTCCCCCCCCCCACTGACACCAACGATGGGGCACTTTCCACCCCCCACTGACACCAATGATGGGGCACTATTCCACCCCTCACTGACACCAATGATGGGACACAATGATGGGACACCATTCCTCCCACTGACATCAATGATGGGGCACTATTCCTCCCACTGACACCAATGATGGGGCACTATTCCTGCACTGATACCAATGATGGGGCACTATTCCTGCACTGATACCAATGATGGGGCACTATTCCTCCACTGATACTAATGATAGGGCACTATTCCTGCCACTAATGCCAATGATGGGGCACTATTCCTGCCACTAATACCAAAGATGGGGCACTATTCCCACTGATACCAATGATGGGGCACTATTCCTCCCACTGATACCAATGATGGGGCACTATTCCTCCCACTGACACCAATGATGGGGCACTATTCCTCCCACTGGTGTGCATTGGAAGAGGGGTAGTCTTATACGGCGAGTATAGCCCAAACACTACATTTTAGCAGGAAAAGTAGGGGGGCTTTTCGTCTTATACGCCCAGTCGTCTTATACGCCGGCAAATACGGTACTTGGATTTTTTCATTTTTTACTAGTAATGGCGACGATCAGCAACTTATAGCGGGACTGCAGCGGACATTCTGACACTAGGGGAAATTACTTGGTGTCACTGACATCCCCAGTGACACCAATAAAGTGATCAGTACTAAAAAAAAAAAGCACTGACACTGTGCTAATGGCACTGGGCAGGAAGGGGTTAACATGAGGGGTGATCAAAAGGTTAAATGTGTGCTAGCAGTGTTTTACTAGGGGCGGTGTCAGTAATGTCAGTATGCTGTGCACAGCCATCCAAAGCAGTGTGCTCCAGCTGACAGGGAGGGGAACTGTTAGTAAAGAAAACCGTTCTCCTCCCTGTCAGAGATCTTTGAAAATCATCGGGCGCCGGCGAGTAATCACTGGCCGGGTCCCGATGATTGACAGCCGCGGCCGCAAATGGCGGTGCGGGTAAGGTGCACGGCTCACGCGCAGCCCTACCCGGATATGCAAAATCGCGTATATATATGTGATTTTGCGCACTGTGCCGCCCTGTAGCAGTATCTCTGCTATAGGGCAGTTGGGAAGAGGTTAAAACAGAAGTATAGCCAAAGCTTTTCCTGTAAGTCACTGGAGTGCTGTTCATTTTGCACTCCTGTGATCCTTTTTCAGCAGACAGTGGGCTAAAGTCCTCTGCAGCTGACATCACTCAGCTGCTCCAGGCTCTGAAAAGATCCCAACCATATGGTTGGACTGTCACTTGTCTCAGACTCTCAATGATCTGCCGAGAACCTAAGTCAGCCCCTCCCGCCCCCACAGCCCAGCGCTTCAGTGAGCACTGGAGGGGCAGAGCAGAAAGTCGGAGACTGACAGTCACAGCTCTCTGCTGAGAGCAGAGGGGAGAACTGAGCGATCAGCGATTCTCACTGCAGAGCCGGGGGGGGGGGGGGGGGGGGGGGGGGGGGTGCTGCATTTACCTGAATGAGGATAAATGTTTTTTTTTTATTTTTTTTAAGTCCATACATTTTTTTTACTACAACAGGTTTCCTCCTCACCACCTGTTTTAACCCTCAAAATGCCTGTGCATGGCACAGCAACTGCATGCATTGTACACAGGTGTAGGGTGGTTGAGGCACAGTCTCATTCACTTCAATAGATCGCATTTGCCAATGGTACTGGTACATTCTGTTAAATATTTGATGCAAGACATCACTACCATGGCATGTGTACAGCCCTGAGCAGCTGCATATCTTTGCGTAGGTGGGTGGTCAGGGAGGCAGTAAAACCGTGTGTTGGTACCCTCCTTTTACCGCCCCCACAACCACCCATGTAAATGAGCCCATACTCCTCCAATGAGCTGCGGTGTTGGGAATGACTCAGCCCACACCTCACTGAACCATAAAAAAAAGCGTTCAGAGGGCGCCTGAGGTTATCTATGTTCAGGAACTGTTTGCTGACCAAAAGTATTATTATTATACAGTATTTATATAGCGCCAATGGGTATGCTCAGCTCTGAACAGTAGCAAGGGGGACAGAACATGAGACAAGACAGTAACAATACAATACACGAGGGGTTCGAGGGCCCTGCTCTTTCAAGCTTACAATCTAGGAGGGAGGGGAAGGTGGCACAGGAGGAGATGGCTGTGGGGGATGGAAAGATGAAAGTATGTTTATATTACTTTTTTCATTTTTTCATTCACTTAAGTTAAAAAAAAAAAAAGACTAGGCTTTCTTTTTTAAGTGAACTTATGAGGACAGATATTTGAGAGTTTCCAATAGCTGACTTGATTTCAAGCCTTGGGTCTCTGGGCTTTCATGCTACAAGTAGTTTTGATCTCAGGTCTTGTGTTTTTTTTAGGCTCCTTGCTGTGGTAAATTTTACACTTGTCGATTGTGCCATGACAACAAAGAAACACATAAGATGGACCGTTTCAAGGTCGTGGAGGTCCAATGTTTGAAGTGCAAGTGCATTCAGAAGGTATATTGCTTTACTACATTTTTATTATCTTTATGTAAATCTGAGGAATATTGACAGGAAAATTGTTTTCTGAAATGATTCTTAAGGTGATCATACACTATACAAACTGATTGTACAATCCTCTTTAGATCTAACATCAACTGTGTAATGTATAGCTGGCCATATATGGATTGAAATTTAGCTGGTCAATGCTGAATCTTTCAATCGATATCTGGCCACTATGGTTGAACAGAGGTCAATCTGCTGATCGACTTCTGTTCAACCACCCTGTTAGAAGCTTTCCGCTTGAGCAGTGCTGCAGGCTACAGATTGCAGTGCTGATCAGTATATTCTGATGGCAGGGAAGTCTCCCCTTTTGTCTTTTGTCAGAAAAAAAGACACAGTAGAGAGAATTCCCTCATCCACATTGAATGGCCAGCCTAAGGGCCTGACTGACTTGACAAAAATACAATGAACTGTTCAGCTATGTCCTCGTATTATATAGTTTTGGTTTGTACAGTCAGATTCTATAGTGTATGGCCAACTTTAGTCTTCTGGTTCTTCAAAGCCTTACTGGTTACTTGTTATCTGCTAATATTTTATGCGCACACTTTGAACCCCCCCCCCCCCCAAAAGAAAAAACAGAATAGACTGCTGAAATGTGATTTTATTTCTTAAAGTGGAACTCAAGGAATTATCTGCATTGCAAACGTACATTGATCCAGCTTGGGACATTGTAAGTGTGCATTACTCAGGCCTGGTGGACCACTGGGAAAGGTGGAAATCACAGTAGTATTCGGCGCTACTACAGTGATAGTCGTGGTTAGGTCCTAGTTCTATTCTGCACACTGACCACAGGAGATTGCTCGCTCATAGAATACTTTATTGATTTTTTTCCTTTGTATCTTTTCTCAACACCTTGTCCAGTTAATACTTTGTATTCATTAAAAAAAATATAAGGCGTTTTGTGAATAGCGGCGTTGCCAAGCAAGTGACTTCTCCCATGGTAAATGGGCAGTGAGGCAGCTGCTTGCACAGAACTTGAGTAGGGCCTGGAAGATTGCGGACCAGCTATCCCAGTGGTCCAGCAGATATGAGTAAGGCTAGCCATACACACACAGAGCCTCCAGGCTGAATTAACAAAATCCGATTCCTCCATCCATGCTATACAGCACAGATGGACAAATCTACTGTGACTGTTGTATTCTGACAGAATACCAAAACAGTGGCTGTATCTAATTGGTTTTTTGGACAACAATTTTCTATCTGACTCCTTCAATTTTTGAATCAAAGGATGTTGGGTATCAGGTGGCTGACAGGGCCACCCACTAAGTGAATTTGGTCTGGTTTATCTGGAGCCTGACACTTCAAATAGGAAATCGCCAGGTTTAAGTAGAACTAAAGGCAAAACCTTTTTTTTATATAGTGTTTTTAACCACTGGAAGATCTACCCCCCTTCATGACCAGGCCATTTTTTTGGTGATACGGCGCTGCATTACTTTAACTGACAATTGTGCGGTCATACAACGCTGTACATAAATTAAATATATGTAATTTTTCCCCAAAAAATAGAGCCTTCTTTCGGTGGGATTTGATCACCTCTGTGTTTTGTATTTTTTGCGCTATAAACAAAAAGAGACTTGACAATTTAAAAAAAACAATATTGTTTAATTTTTGCTATAAAACATATCCAATAAAAAAATAAAATTTCTTCATAAATTTAGGCTAAAATGTATTCTGCTACATGCCTTTGCTAAAAAAAATCTCAGTAAGTGTATATTAATTGGTTTACGTGAAAGTTATAGCGTCTACAAATAGCAGTATATACAGTTAGATCCATATATATTTGGACACAGGCACAATTTTCATACTTTTGGCTCCATGTGCCACCAGAATAAAAACAAAACAATCCAAATGAGTTTGAAGTGCAGACTTTCAGCTTTAATTCAAGTGGTTGAACAAAAATATCAAGTACAGATTTTAAGTACTGCAACCATTTTTATACACAGTCCCTCCATTTTCAGGGACTCAAATGTAATTGGACAAATATAATCATAAATAAAATGTTCATTTTTAATATTTTGTTGAGAATCCTTTACTGGCAATGACTGTCTGAAGTCTGGAACCCATGGACATTACCAAAGACTGGGTTTCCTCCTTTGTGATGCTTTGCCAGGCTCTAACTGCAGCTGTCTTCAGTTGTTCTTTGTTTGTGGGTCTTTCTGCCTTTAGTTTTACAGATGATGTTGTGTACTTTGGATCATGAGCTGTTCCAAGCCTTCTCCACACTTTTTTCTTCCTGTCATTCTGGTACAGATTAATCTTCGTTTCATCCGTCCAAAGAATGCTTTTCCAGAACTGGTCTGGCTTTTTTAGATGTTTTTTGGCAAAGTCTAATCTGGCTTTTCTATCTGCTACTGTGTTCCTGTACTACCAGCATGAATAACTTCTAACACGTTTTCCTGACACCAAAAGAAAAATTGTGACAGGGGAGGGACCTCCAGCAGATTGACAGCCTCAGCTCTGTTCCTGTGATCTGTGTGAAGGGGAGTTGTGTCCCTTCCTTACAATCAGCTCTCAGAACTCTCCTCACAGAGCTTTGCAGTGTGTATTTTCAACTCTCCGTCCACTTTTTTCTGACAGCTCAGACAAGCGGATATAGAGAAGGTGGCAGCTAAACAGGTACAACTTATGTAGGAGGATATGTTTCTTTTCAGTGTATCACCTGAGGCCAGTCACTTCACTGGGTATATGTAAGGGTTTACAATCACTTTAATAGCCTCATCTTTTTCTGCTACATATCTTCCCCTAAATCCTTGTTGATAAACTTTATGGCACATGATAAACCAAAATCATAATCTCCATATTCCCATTAAATGCTTTTTGGTATTAGTGCAAATGTGCAAGGTTTAAAGTGGTTGCAAAGGCTCAAGGTTTTTTACCTTCATGATTTCTATGCATGAACCAAAAAAAACTGTGTGCAGCATCCCCTCCCATAATTACCCGAGCCCCATCGCAATCCTGCAATGTGCACTAGAGCCCCGACTTTTTGGGAACTCTCCCTCTTCATTGTCTGAGACAGCAGTTGCTGACAATCACAGCCAGTAAGTCAATGAGGGGGGGGGGGGGGTGTACAGGGCAGAGTTGCGGCTCTTTGCGTGAATAGACATGCAGAGCAGCTGCTCGGAAGCGAGCCTGCTTCAGTGCCCCATAGCAAGCTTCTTGGTCTGGGGGTATTCAGCAGGAGGGAGGAGCCAGGAGCACTGGCAGGGGACCCAAGAAGAGGAGGATCAGGGCTGCTCTGTGCAAAACCATTGCACTTTAAAAAAATGCCTTTAATATCACTTTAAATTTAGTTTATAGCTATACGAAAATGCTTAAAGTTATGTGGATAGCCTAGAGTGCTTGAAGGTTTAGGTATTCCAGATGATGCAGCCATGTATGATAATCAGTGCATGTACCCATGTTTCCCTCCTGAAAGCAGAGTATTACTGGGTTCCAGACTATGGTAAAAGTGTGTTTGAGATCTCACACAAATTAATCAAACACCTGGATAGAGTCGATCAGTTGCCATGTTATGGGCTGATCATAAATGTTAACAAATCAGCTGCCAGTGATAGAATAAAGTATACCTAAAACCAAAGCTTTTTTCTTTTTTATATGCATAAGGAATAATGAACGTTTTAAGTATTTATTTTCCATTGGTGTGCCATTGTAGAGACAGAAAGGGAGTGACTGCCATTAAGTAAAGTGACAGCAACAGGACAATGATTCTGCTACTGATAGCATTGCTTGTGGCAGATTTGCGAGGTCCTGGTCCCACAGCTGCTGGAAATAATGCTTGGGGGGCCTTGCTGTTGTATGGAAAGGTATTCTGTTTTTGCATAGGGAATATACTTTCCCTATGCAAGTCTTATCCTGGTTTTCCTTTCTTTCCAAGAATAGAACTGGGTAATGGCTGAGAATAGTAAGCCTAAAATAGATACAACAATCTAGGAATGAAGGAGATGGTGGGGATAAAGCGGCCTGATTGTATGATACAGTAATGCAGATATGTTGCCATTTTGTGAACTGCCAAAAAAGTAAATAACTAGTAATTTGTCGGTTAGGTAGTGTGTTATTTTATCAGTACATAGCAAGACTGAGTGGGCAAACAACAGCACTATAACTGGACACCCATCGGGCTCCATTTCTGGCTTTCACCGTTGATCCTCATAGACCCTTAATGGGAATTATTCTTCTTCCCAAAGAAACAGGCTTGACCTTATACCCCACAGGCTATGAAATTCTGGTTTTGGCTTTATGCAAATCTAGAAGTGTATCATTTTTGGGTTCATTGAAGTATATGGAGAATCCAGCATGGAGTTGAGGATTTATATCAGCATAAATCTTTTTGCATCCATCACATTAGCACTTCACATGTTGATTTCCTGCTCAAAAGATGTTACATATGAATAACAGGGAGAGTCTAAATTTTAGGGTTATCAGGATATGCCAGAGCTTTGCATCCTGGCATATAACCTTAATAGCAAGGTTTTGAAGGTTGCTGTAGGTAGGTGTAGACACTTCTAGGATTCTGCGTTTATAAAGCTACAGCAGCTTTATATTTTCTTCCACGACAGAATTGTCTTTAATAATTCTCATTGTACAATGCTGCTAGTAAATAAGAGCCATGGTATGGAATGTATGGCATATGTGTTTTAGTGATGGCACCCCAATTAGATGGTTCCAAAACTATCAGTCTTTCTCTGTGATAGTTTCATGTATCCCTTGCCATATGGCAAACATTGATTTCTTTTCATATTTGTTTTTTCTTTAGGCTCAAAAAAGTTTGTGAGCATTGTAATCATGTTTTTCGGAGACTACTACTGCGATATATGTCATCTCTTTGACAAAGACAAGAAGCAGTATCATTGTGAAGGATGCGGTATTTGCAGGTATGTCTTGTGTTTATTTTATAAATTACATTCATAAACTATTATATTTAGTAATTTTGAAAACACACTTTTAGGAATAATATTCCACTGGCAGCCTGTGGGAGGAACCGTTGTAAAGAGAGCTGCAGAATCTTTACCTTAGGGACCTAAGGAAATTGGGTTCACCCATTATTGGATTATACTCAAGGTTGCTGTACATCATGGAAAAAATTTGTGCAGTATTGTCAGTAAGGTTCCCCTGTTTCTGCCCTTGCATAATTTGATTGGCCGGGGGGGACATTGAGGGGGCAGCATTGTTGAGTATTGCAATTCATAATCAGGGCTGCTCTGGTGGCTTGTGGGAGAAGCTGTTTCTGTCTGTGTATAATATGATTGGCCCCAGCCAATTTAATTATACACAGTAAGAAATGGCTCTTCCTAACACCCATCAGAGTGGACCTGATGGGGAACCAATCACCACAAAAACAGCCCAGAAGCACTATGTCCACCTGCATTGTGGCCAGGATGCAGGCAGCTCGAGGCTACTTCTTTAAAAGAGAAGTTTAGTTTTTTGGGGTTTTTTTTTTTCCCTGAAATCATACTTGCCTAGGTGAATACAGCATCAGCCCCTCACTGGCTCTAAGTGTGAGAACTCAGCGATCACATGACCACTGATTGCTGAGTTCTCACCGCCGCTGTGAGAATGAACTGCACTCCTGTGATCCACAGGAGAAGTACAGCCAAAAGAGCTTTGGCTGTACTTCTCCTTTAATGCTGAATGACAAAAGGGTTGATCCAGCCCATTACTAATTTATACCTCCTACAAGCAGTACTTAACTCCTTAATTCCCAGAGATCATAGATTTTTTAAATGCCCAAGTCAATTTTAGCACCAACATTTATTAGTAAACTTGACAATAATTTGGTAGCTTATTTGCATACCTTAACCACTTCAATACTGGGCACTTTCACCCACTTTCTGCCCAGGCCAATTTTCAGTTATCAGGGCTGTTGCACTTTGAATGACAATTGTGCGGTCATGCAAAACTGTACTCAAATGAAATTTTTATCATTTTTTTCAGACAGATGGAGCTTTCTTTCGGTGGTATTTAATCACCAGTGGGTCTTTTAGTTTTTTGGTAAACAAATGAAAACGGGCTGAACATTTAAAAAAAAAAAAAAAAAAAAAAAAAAGGTTTTTCTTAGTTTGTGTTATAAAAATTTGCAAGTACGTCATTTTTTTCTTCACTGATGGGCGCTGACGAGGCTTCACTGATAATCAGTGTCCTGTTAGCCTTTCCAGTTATCAGCTCTCCTTTCCTCATAATGTGACCGCACGTGAGGAAAAGAATGCCAATAACCGGCAAGTTTGTATATATGTGATCAGCTATGATTGGCCCCCTACCTTGATCTGATATCAGCTGTGTCCAAAGTTCACATCGGTCACAGAGCTCGCCTGCTGCGTGCCCAGAAGGTGTTTTCTGGGAGGACTGTCATAAACACCCTCCCAGAACAAGAGAGCTGCGCTGTAGCCGTATTTTGGCTATGGCGCAGTTTTCAGGTGGTTAAACTTTTCTCTGCTCTTATATTTTTAATATCAATAAAATGCATAAAAATATTAAAAGAAATAAAATCATATATTTGGTCTAAATAACCTCTCCAGTGTCAACATCATTGACCGTTTTGCCCCGGGTTTGTCTTCTATGGCCTTCTTGATTGGCCAGCCCAGGTTAATGCTACTCCCTTGCATGTACACTGGATTTGATATGTCCTGGCACCAAGTTATGCTGAAAATGTACACTGATCTCCACATGCCTGTCAAGTGTGCATCAAGAAGAAACATTGCTGGCAGGCAAAAGAGGAAGCCTTTATTTCAGTTTCTTAAAAAGACTTCAGTTCTGCTTAAAACATGTGGCACTGCAGATTAACACTGTCACCTAAAGGCAACATTGTTCATCTACAGGTAAAAAGCTTTAATATTTTTAGTAACACCTCCAGCCTGCATGTGATCACTATTTAATAGCTGACATAGTGATCACAAGATCAGTAACCATGCTAATTGGGAATCTGATCCTGTCTGGGGTAGGTACGATTGAGAGCCTCAGCGTTGTTCTCTCTAGCACAGGACAAACTTTATATACAGATAGTGTGAAGGGGTTAAAGAACCATATATTTCCATTCTTGGCTGTAGGAGCAGACATGCATACCGCTTAATAGAACAGTAAAATACTAGATGTGCCACCAGTCACTTTGACCTTCAATACACTTTACTGTCACCATAACTTTTTTTTTTATTTTTAAGAGGGTTAACTCTTTTTGTTTTTCCGTTAGGATTGGCCCAAAGGAACAGTTTGAGCATTGTGCAAAGTGTAACTTATGTCTGCCGTTAAGCTTCAGAGGAAACCACAAGGTAATAAAGCAACATCAATCTTTTATCTTGAGGCTTGCAATTGAAAGGGAAAGATAATATTTTTATATGCAAAACGCAAGAAGACAGATGTCAGGAAAGTTTTTTGGTTAACCTTAAAAAAAGTTGTTTTGAAAATTGGGGAGAGACCCTCAGCCTGGTGGTATAAACCACATCTGGACCCGCTTCAGTTTGGCTAGTATGTCTGGTATTTCTTTTTCTTGCTTTTGCTTATTTATCTCAACAGAAAATAGTAGGAGCCTTTTCACATGGGCATTCTGACCAGGTCCGCCTGTCCGTTTTCAGGCAGATTTGATCAGAAGCTCAATGCAGTTCTATGGACAGGCAGGTGTAAACTGACTTGTGGTATCTTTGTTTCCTGTTTACGGAGCAAAGCGGCTCTGTGTGAAAGTGCCTGAACAGCAGTAGAGCAATTATTGTTTTATCTAGTTGCTGTGTCTGATTTCTCTTGATTCAGAGAAAGCTGCCAAGCCATTGGTGCAGCACAGGTAGGTCAGCATTCAGCAGGCTAAAAGCATGGATGCAAAAGCATGTTTCATGAAGCACAAATCATATTTTGGACTTCCTGTTGAATGGTAGTGCTACTAACCAGCTTTTGTTAATGCTGGTTAATGAAAAGCTTTTTCGGTTCATTTAAAGGGTATTTCCACTTTTGCAGTTGAAGTGAGATAACACCTACTTTATATTTGTTACATATCCCTATTCACACAACATCACTTAAAAAATCAATCAATAAATCAATACAAAATGTTGTAGCTTACCTTTTTGGATGTTCTCTTCAGCTGAAAAAAAGTCCTAATTCATTTCGTTATAAGTGAGGCTGGGAAGCTCTGTTTACCATAGCTAACCACATCTGTACTGTATAGAGCCGATATCACATCAGTTGTACTAGGTTTGAACATTGTCTGTCAAAGCTAAAGGTTAAGGAACTAGGCTGCTCCATTGTATGCTATTGGAACAGATCACGCTGAAGTACTTGAGAAATTCTTGCAATCAGCCATGATGGCTTCTTCTCAGAAACATTTAAAAGGTAAGAAATATTTTTTTTTAAATGTTAGGGTATGCTGTCTGAATAGGAACACATAATAACAGGTTTTCTCAATTTTTGGCTACAAAATAGAAACACTTTTAAAGAATAAGTTCACCTTTACAAAAGAAATATTAAATGCACATATTTTTGCAGGTATAAAAATATGCATGTATTTTTTTTTGTTAAGAGCCTGTAAAGCATTGCACCCATGATCAGCAGATCATGGTTGTAATGCCACGGTCCTGCATACTGCCTGTGTAGCTGTCTGCCCATACCTCTGATACAGACAGGAAGTCGCACTCTGATAGGAAGCTCAAGGGGCAGCACAGTGGCTAAATGGTAAGCATTTCCACCTGACTGTATTGGGGTCGTTGGTTTGAATCCCAACCACGGCATCACTTGCCTAGAGTTTGCATGTTCTTTCTATGCCTGCGTGGGTTTCCTCCGGGTGCTCCAGTTTCCTCCCACACTCCAAAGACGTGCTGCTAGGTTAATTGGCTCCTGTCTAAATTGTCCCTAGCATGTGTATGTATGAATGTGAGTTAGGGACCTTGTACGCCCCTTGAGGGTTAGGGACTGATGTGAATGTACAATATACAGTCAGGTCCATAAATATTGGAACATCGACACAATTCTAAAATTTTTGGCTCTATACACCACCACAATGGATTTGAAATGAAACAAACAAGATGTGCTTTAACAGCAGACTGTCAGCTTTAATTTGAGGGTATTTACATCCAAATCAGGTGAACGGTGTAGGAATTACAGCAGTTTGCATATGTGCTTCCCACTTGTTAAGGGACCAAAAGTAATAGGACAATTGGCTTCTCAGCTGTTCCATGGCCAGGTGTGTGTTATTCCCTCATTATCCTAATTACAATGAGCAGATAAAAGGTCCAGAGTTCATTTCAAGTGTGCTATTTGCATTTGGAATCTGTTGCTGTCAACTCTCAAGATGAGATCCAAAGAGCTGTCACTATCAGTGAAGCAAGCCATCATTAGGCTGAAAAAACAAAACAAACCCATCAGAGAGATGGCAAAAACATTAGGCGTGGCCAAAACAACTGTTTGGAACATTCTTAAAAAGGAACGCACCGGTGAGCTCAGCAGCACCAAAAGACCCGGAAGACCATGGAAAAGAACTGTGGTGGATGACCGAAGAATTCTTTCCCTGGTGAAGAAAACTCCCTTCACAACAGTTGGCCAGATCAAGAACACTCTCCAGGAGGTAGGTGTATGTGTGTCAAAGTCAACAATCAAGAGAAGACTTCACCAGTGTGAATACAGAGGGTTCACCACAAGATGTAAACCATTGGTGAGCCTCAAAAACAGGAAGGCCAAATTAGAGTTTGCCAAACGACATGTAAAAAAGCCTTCACAGTTCTGGAACAATATCCTATGGACAGATGAGACCAAGATCAACTTGTACCAGAGTGATGGGAAGAGAAGAGTATGGAGAAGGAAAGGAACTGCTCATGATCCTAAGCATACCACCTCATCAGTGAAGCATGGTGGTGGTAGTGTCATGGCGTGGGCATGCATGGCTGCCAATGGAACTGGTTCTCTTACATTTATTGATGATGTGACTGCTGACAAAAGCAGCAGGATGAATTCTGAAGTGTTTCGGGCAATATTATCTGCTCATATTCAGCCAAATGCTTCAGAACTCATTGGACGCCGCTTCACAGTGCAGATGGACAATGACCCAAAGCATACTGCAAAAGCAACCAAAGAGTTTTTTAACGGAAAGAAGTGGAATGTTATGCAATGGCCAAGTCAGTCACCTGACCTGAATCCGATTAAGCATGCATTTCACTTGCTGAAGACAAAACTGAAGGAAAATGCCCCAAGAACAAGCAGGAACTGAAGACAGTTGCAGTAGAGGCCTGGCAGAGCATCACCAGGGATGAAACCCAGTGTCTGGGGATGTCTATGCGTTCCAGACTTCAGGCTGTAATTGACTGCAAAGGATTTTCAGTCATGGCACCCATTAAAATTCTGCACAATTTCAAGAAACCCAATTCTAAAATGTAAACAAAAAATAAACTAAAGCAGTGTGCAGCTGCATCTAACATTAACACCCAACATTAGAGGTGAATTTTTTTTTCTTAAAAGCAATGTACCTTTGCACACTGGTACTGACTAGTATTCCGGCTTTTCTCTTCTGCCTCTGCTTCTCCCCCTCCTTCCCTGTGACTGATGGAGAGGGACAGCTGAGACGGCAAACAAGGACATCCTCAGGGGCCCGATGTCCTTCTTATCAACCGATGACGTCATCTGTTGATGGGACACCAGTAGCTGGCCTGCATGATGCCCGAGCTTGAAATGCTGCACAATAAAACCCTGTGGCTTTGTGTACGAAAAAAAAAGCCATCTTGATCCACCTGCTGGCTTGTTAACAACTTTTGGGCAGGTTTTAGGCATTTTGCCCAGGCATCCCTGAAGAATCCAGAAGGCACCCTGGTTGGAAAAGGCTTCTTTAAGACACAGCAGCAACACCTTGAGTGTCCAAAAATATTAATAATTGATATTTTCAAAAGTATATATAGAAAGGCACAGCACCCTCTCTATCTTGAAATGAACAAAAAAATGTTATTGGGTATACTTGAGGTAAATTGAAGTGTTCATGCATTTTATCTTTTATTTAGTGCATAGAAAATGTCTCAAGACAAGACTGTCCTATATGTTTAGAGGTAAGTAATGTCACGGAATTATTGTACTGTTTTTATGCAGTTCAATTTTTTTTTGTGCTAATGCCTTCTGAATTTGATCAATTTTAATTGTTTGTCGAGTTTAATTTCCTTACTAGTTAGAAGAGAACAAATCCTTTTCCTTTAACATTAGTCTTCCATTATCTGTATTTTTTTAGATCTATTATTTACAAACATATCTTTATTGTTTTATCAAGTGAGGAGAAGCAAAGTTGGGTAGCTGAGTACAGCTTAACTATAGCCACACATTCCTGATTTTCCAGTTTAAAGTTGTGATGCAAATTACATGAATGCCTTCTGATCACTTCCCACCTTTATGAGGTTTCACAACCATAGAGGCTTACTAGGAAAGATTCAAGTATCAGGGAGCTTGAGGTGCAAGCCACACACCCGTAGACTTCTGCTATTAGACTCTATGCACACGCAGCTTCGCTAAGCCGTATGTGATATACTGCACAGAATCCCTTTTTGATACTGGCTACTACTAGGCAGCAGTGCATGAAATTAGCTGTGGTGTGATTATCTTCTGTCAATAACAAAGCCAAAAAAAATCAGTATTTTGCGCAATGTATTTGTTTTTATAGTACTATAACACATCTCAGATTTGTACACTTGTTTTATTATGAGTGGTGAGGCGTGATCTCTACACTATTATATAGATTTCGAAAATTCATTGTTAATCTTTAAAGACCTTAGCATGATCTTTCCCTGTCATACTAAAATATAGCTGAGCTTATGAAACCGAGTGGCATCTTTCTACAGCTTTAGATATGTAACTGTGCAAATCTCACATGATGCCAAAGAAACATTTTGCTTGACAATAAATAGGAAGGGATTAACAACATTTCAGAAATTTATTTCAAGTGTCTGGTAGCATGTCATGTTCAGGAGGCCTCTTGAAGTCATTATAGTCTTTTTTTTATTATTATTTATTTTTTTAGCAGATAAACCTTACAATAGATAAATGTATAAGCTGCACTAAAGCTATGATTTGATGGGAAGTTCTCCTTCGCCCCACGTGCTAGTAAAATTTCTGATGAACTCTATTTCTGGCTGGGAAAAAAAAAGTAGTCCTATATTAAAACCAGTTTAACATTTGAAAAACATGCTTCTTCCTTGTCCAGGGACACAGTCTACACCATCAGGTTATACTGATGCCTACAGCTATCTTGAGCAGACCCTGCTGGATTGACACTGCGGGGCTAGTCTGAAAGTGATCTTTAAGCACTGAGTTCTGCATAAGATGATTTCCAGACCCTGTTCTAGTAACAAGTTAGCTTCGGAGCACTTTCCAGATCTTGAGATGTTGCCATCGCCTCAACACTTGCTATGTCACCGAAGACTCATACTATAAGTAGGCTGATGGGACTAAGCATTGGGAGCTATAAAATTCATTTGAATTCCCAGTCCCTGCTGGCCTATACCACAGAAGGGGTTAACAGTAAGGGACTGAGTGGTGAGTTGTGCACATGCTCTTTAAAGTCAAGGAATCATCTCCCTGCTGTTGCTCCTGCTTTGAAAAGAGCCACATAGAACTCTGATCTTTGGTCATTTCCTACTGCCCATCTACAGTGACTTTGGTCACCTCCAGCTGTCTGACCCTCACCAGTTGCCAACTGTCTGGGTTATGTGCATACCTGAGGCCTTACCAAGTACCTTGAGCTTAGTCGCTGTACCACCTCGTGGTTGCAACATGTTCATTTCTAGAAATGAAGAGGATGATCCCACTCTAATGGATGACTCCAATTCACACTCCCTATCAATTGTGGGAACATTTGTTGTGCATCCTAAAATACTGATGTTTGTAATCTGTAATCCTGTTCCCCTATGGTTATAGTGTTTACCTCATTATTGGAATTCTTCTTGACTCTGCCTGGTGAGGCTGTGTCCCCTGCTATATCCACCTGGGTCTCTATAGGAAATCACATCAGACTTTGAGACTAATTCTTCCATGGTCCCAACTACAGAGGCCCTAGGCATACTCCCATATCTTTCCCTGCAAACCTCCAGCTTCACAACTGCAAAGACTTTCATGTGCTTTTTGAAGTTTTTCTTTATGGGGATTGGAAGCACCTTGATGGGTCCTGGACACCCTCTGAGCACCTACTGGATTTGTTCCCGTTTTGAAAGGACTTTGCAAAACAGTGGTCTGTATCCACTGTACCAGAGACTCGCCTTAAAAGAGAAACCACTTGGTCAGTAGAGGGCATCCATATTATCAAGAATATCACTGCAGGCCAAAGCACCCACCTGCTTTGGGATAAGAAATCTAGGAAAAGGTCGGCTAAGTCCCCTTCCCTTTCTTCCTCTACTCCTAGAGTAGGCATACCTAAGTCTTATCTGCCTGGTTCTCCACCCACCCACAAGTATGGAGGTTAGAAACCTCCTAAACCTTCAGAGAGACCTTCGCATGAAAGTGTACCCCCACTTTGGTAAGTGGGGTTGAGGTTTGTTAATCTGGCTTTTCAGGATTACAGGCTGAACCTTAAACCAACAATTAAACACCTCACTTTCAAGTTTCATGTGCCACAGATTAGCAGATCTAAATATGTATCCTTGGGGTCTCCTGAACCTAAAAATCCTTCTCCTAGTTCCTGCACCAGTTTGATCTTAGGAGTTGTATTCCATGCTGACCTAGGTTTTCTGATAGAGAAGGCAATTATCTCTTTTGAGACATAGTCCAACAGTTGTACATGGTATTCATCATATTTTTCATTCCAGTTCATTCCCAGATGGTCCTTCCTGAATTTTTTGGTCAACTTGGATATGTACTTGCTGATCCCTGTCCTGTTGGTGCACTAACTTTACAGTCTCAACCCTGCACATTTAGTGTTCTACAGGGTGCTGGCCCCAGTGTTTGCCATAATGCCTTCTCATGGCACTTGGATGTCCTTCTGTGGAGAATACAGGCAATGCGGCTGTTTTTGATTCTGCGTTGCAGGTGGAATGGAGCCTTCGAGATACCTTGGGCCAACTGCATGCTGAACTAGCTAGTTTCTTAGAGCAGGAATTCTCTGGCTGTAGCATGGAATTCTCCAAAAATTGTGAGATCTGCACACTTGGGCCTAGATCTGTACTCCATGTCTGCTTCACAGATGTGAGAGACAGGCCTTTCTGTTGATATTAATTTCTCTGGTTTAACCCAAGTGAATGTTCACCATCATGACAAATCTAACTGTTGCTTCACAGAGTTTGATGAATCATTGGATCTAGGTAGTCAGGAGGACTCTTCAAGGTTCGAGCAAACAAAGCCTGGCATAGTATGTCTAACAAGACATCTTGACAAATTATATACCAAATGAAGCAGTCTAGGCTTAAACGGTGCAAATGTACAGCAATAGAATAAATTGGCAGATTACCCCAAGAAATTTAAAAAAAAAAAAAAAAGGGGGGGGGTAGGGTAATAGACTATATAATAGACATTTTAAACCCCTTCCTCAGCAGAGACCTGATTTTCACCCTGCCCCTTATGTTCCATAAATACACTGCTCAAAAAAATTAAAGGAACACTTTTTGATAGCACATGGGAAAAATATCATGCTGGATATCTATATTAATATGGACTGGGTAATTTGTTAGGAATGTAAGGATGCCTCATCTTTTGATAGAAATGAAAGTTATCAACTTACAGAGGACTGAATTCAAAGACACCCCGAAAATCAAAGTGAAAAAATTATGCAGCAGGCTAGTCCATTTTGATGAAATTTCATTGCAGCAACTCAGAATGGTGGTACTTAGTTTGTATGGCCCCCACGTGCTTGTATGCATGCCTGACAGCATCAGGGCATGCTCCTAATGAGATGACTGATGTCCTGGGGTATTTCCTCCCAGATCTTGACCAGGGCATCACTGAGCTCCTGGACAGTCTTAGGTGCAACCTGGCGTTGTCGGATGGACCGAAACATGATATCCCTGAGGTGTTCTATTGGATTTAGGTCAGGCGAGAGTGGGGGTCATTCAATGGTATCAGTTCCTTCATCTTTCAGGAACTGCCTGCATACTATCGCCACATGAGGCTGGGTATTGTCACGCACTAGGCGGAACCCAGGATCCACTGCATCAGAGTAGCGTCTGACGATGGGTCCAAGGATTGCATCTCGATACCTAATGGCAGTCAGGGTGCCATTGTCTTGCCTGTAGAGCTCTGTGTGTCCCTCCATGGATATGTCTCCCCAGACCATCACTGACCCACCACCAAAATGATAATGCTAAACAATGTTACAGGCAGCATAACGTTCTTTACACCTACTCCAGACCCTTTCACGTCTGTCACGTGCTCAGTGTGAACTTACTTTCATCTGTGAAAAGCAAAGGTCGCCAGTGGCGGACCTGCCAATTCTGGTATTCAATGGCAAATGCCAATCGAGCTCTATGGTGCCAGGCAGTGAGCACAGGGCCCACTAGAGGTTTTTGGCCCTCAGGCCACCCTCATGAAGTCTGTTTCTGATTGTTTGGTCAGAGACATTCACACCAGTGGCCTGCTGGAGGTCATTTTGTAGGGCTCTAGCAGTGCTCATCCTGTTCCTCCTTGCACAAAGGAACAGATACCAGTCCTGCTGATGGGTTGAGGACTTTCCGCAGCCCTGTCCAGCTCTCCTAGAGTAACTGCCTGTCTCATGGAATCTCCTCCATGCTCTTGAGATTCTGCTGGGAGACACCCAATTGGCCAACCCAATGGGAACAACAGGCAGTTTTTCACCTGGATGAGGTGAATGACTTAACTGACAGTCATTTTAGTAATAGACTTCCTTGTTCCTTTAATCCTTATGGGATCAGGTGAGTTAAAGCCTTTTCTACTTGGAGCCAGAGCTGCAGCAAGGTCACACAGTGCCCAGGGTAAAGATGTTAAACAAAGCGAAACAAAAACGAGAAGCGCACCAACCTTGTGCATTACCTCAGTAACCAAAATGTATTGAATACAAAATGATACTCACACAGCGAAGTAATTCAAGCATGTAAGTCTTCAAAGGAACTTAAAAGTTAGGAAGCCTGCGTGAGTCCCATCATAGGGGTAGACACTGAGTACACCTGACGCGTTTCAAAGGACATCCCTTCTTCATCAGAGTTTCTGGTTTAAAGATGTTAAACTACACACCCCCCACTTATATATAATTTTTTTTACCAGGGGGGTTTGGCTCTCTGAAACAATTGAATAGAATCTAGTTATTAGATGCACTTTACTAATAGTTTTATCAAGAATGAACACTGAAGAGAGATATGAGCACATTAGAAATTATGGGGCATGGGTGCACTCTACAGGCAGCCCTTTCTGGGCCTAGGCCCCCCTGCAAACCCATTGGGGCTGAGCATACTGCTTTTATTTCATATCCGTGGCCCTGGGGTTAGGGGTATGGTTGGTGGGGATGGTTAGATGAGGTTTGGATAGGAGTTAGATTGGGTGAGGGTTAGGTGTAGAGTTTTGGGGAGTAAGAGAGAGTTAGGTGCAGTGTTAGTGCGCTTTAAGGCAAGGAGTACCTTAGGGATAGATCTCTGTGCACAGTGAGCAGCACTGAGCTGTCAGTACCTGAACACAATGTACCACCTGAAGATGGTCTGGTACACAGGCATAATCTGAACCTCAGACTAGTTATCTTTCTGACTTTCACATAAAGAGGCACATATGACTCACTCAAACATACCTGCCCTTGAAGAATGTAGATGATGAGTGGTTAGGCAGCTCCAAATCATCCAGAAAGAAAAAAAATCACCCTTAATTATACAACACGCTGTTATGTTTTCTTCCCTGAGATTGGTCAGCCAGGGGTGTCGCTTCCTTACTTCTGGAACCCACAGACATTGGAATAATTTCCCAGTCTGGGCACAATTTATTCTTAGACCCTTTTTTTTAACATGAACAGCTCTCAACGGGAGGTTGAGTCATGGTTTTACTGCCCCTCAATTGTTCACCTTGAGTCTAAAATATAGCTGAAGGGAACTATTCACATTCTGAGGCCTGTCAAACTTGGCCATTCAGGTCAGTGGGGCCACAAAGAAACCGTGTGCCAAATACTTGGTTTGTGGTTTGCGGTGAATATATCCCATTTAAAAAAAAAAACAAAAAAAAGTAACAAGCATTCAGTAAGTGGTTGAATTGCCTCCTGAACACCTGACAGCAGCTGTTTAGTTGCACTCTGAAAAGGGATCCATTGTTGTTCACTTTTCAGAGCATAGACTAGTGTGTACATACAGTAGCCTTATGGTTTTGGTAGCTTGTTGGCTACAGAAAAGCAGAGACTTGGGGAGCCCCGCACATGGCAGCCCTCCTGTCACCCTGTACTGGTAGTGCTGTAACCATGCATGCCACTCATCAAGCTCAGCACTCTCCTCCTCTCGATGTGTCTGCCCGGATGGAAGCCTCTGATCCCTGGCACTTGACAGGAGGAGAGTGCAATAGCACCTGGTAACACTTTATGTCCGTAGCCTGAGCTGACACTCTGTATGTCCACTTCCGAGCTCACAGCTACTTGCCAACTTCTCTTTGCATAACTCTCCATTTCGCATCTTTGGACTTTTTATTTTTCTTTCCTTCCTTTTTTGTTTGCACTCTGTAGTGAGGATAGGTACGTTCCACAGTGCCATCTACTGTTCTTTGGGTGATACTGCAGGGCTACTGAATTGTATGGCAAGCAATCCTAAAAAGTGTCATTCAGAAGAGAAATAAAATAATCAGCACCCCCCCCCCCCCAGAACATGAGAACACTGTGCTCAGGGTAGCTGCCCCTCCCTTGTCCCAGCTTTGCTTAGAGCATATCTAAATTTTCCTCTACCAGAACTTTGTTCTTAGATTCTTCTGTCTGGTCCCAGTTTTTCTCTCCTTGTTGACCACAGTTTTAGATTGTCTTTTGCCTAAAGGAAAATTGTTTTTGGGCAGCTTCTCATGCATATGGTCTATGGTGTAATGTTTTCCCTCCCATGCTGGAACTTTTCTCACTTTTTTCACAATTTTTTTTTCTTGGTCTTTTGTGTGTAGTTTCTCATTTGTTATCATGTTCTCCTTTACCATATGGATGGTTCAGCCCCATTTGATGGAAGTTGAGGGCATTGGTCCTACAAGTGGCCATTGAGCTGCAGACTGTCCCTAGTTCACTGGTAGCAGTTGTTTGCTGTTACCTACCTCACAGTTGGGCTTTTGGATGTCCTGATGGTGAAGACTTGCTGTGTTCCACAATGGACAAGAAAAAAAATAGGATTTTGAAGTCTCACCCCTGTGGGGGCTATTTACTAAAACTGAAGAGTGCAAAATCTGGTACAAAACTGTATAGAAACCAATCCGCTTTGAAGTTTTATTGCCAAAACTTAATTGAACAAGCTGAAGTTAGAAGCTGATTTGCTACCATGCACAGCTGCACTAGATTTTGAGTGATACAGTTTCAGTAAATCTCCCCTGTGTGATTATTACCATGCTTTTGGTACATGCTGGTTGTAAGACGTATTATCCGAGCTGCACTCCTGTGAGTGGACATTGTCCATTCACACACAGAGTAAGGCTCGGCCCCATTGCCCACTCCCTCCTCATTGGCTCACTGCCTGTAATTGACAGCAGCAGGAGCCAATGGCTCCCTTTGCTGTGTGAGCCAATGAGGAAAGAGATCCGGGAGAGCTGTGGCTCTCATGCACATCGTAGAGCGAGATGGGGCTCAGGTAAGCATAAGTGGGGGCTGAGAGGGTAGCTACAGCCAGAAGGTTTTTTTTTTTACCTTAATGCATAGAATGCAACAAAGTAAAAAAAAAAACTGAATTTAGAACCACTTCAAGATATCATGTCTGCCAAGACAGTAAGACAAAGCTTATAATAAATGGCATTTTGTTTCCTTTGCTAAAGAATTCAAGAAGTGTGTACTGGCTTTTTAAGGTTTGAGGCAAAGGAAGTGCAAATATTAAAGAAGAAACTGGAACCCCTTTTGAAGGTGCTTTTTTGTTGGGAGATGTCTGTCAATTACTTCTGAGGTATCAAATTTGCATTAAACACACACATTAGTGTGCAAATTCCTCGTGCATTACCTCCATGAAATTTATTAGATCCTCAAGCATAAATGGATACTCACAAGCGGTTAAAAACAACAGGCATATAATGTAAGCATTTCAGTCTTGGGCAGTGAGTCCCGTACTAGAACATTCTGGTTGGAAATCTAACACTTTGGGAGTTGAGCCCCCTTCTTCAGAGCTGAACCAACCTAATGTCCTGTCCACCTTTAAAAGGCCACATATCACAAACCGCCCTCCTCCCTGTCCATGAGCCAGTGGGCGTAGCCTGATGAAAAACGCCCCTCACAACAGTCAAAAACATCGTTAGTTTGTGATCTGTGGCCGTCTAAGGGTGGGCAGCACATTACGCACTTTAGTATCCTGTGGAACACCTAGGATTGAGCGCTGGAGTGTTTTTGATTATCAAAGTAGCATTATTATTGGACCCAGAAAGAACCAGAAAAAAGATGGAAGGTTATGTTTGCATGGAAGATGAATGGAAACATGAATATATTAAACAGGCTAAAAGAAGGTAAAAGAGGATATATTTGTTATTATTGTACTCTTAATCTGTTGCAGTTTTTGCATAAAGTAGACATGATAAATATACCCCCTCCTAATGAACCCCTTTCCTAATTCAGCATTTCTCTTACAGGATATCCATACCTCCAGAGTGGGAGCACGTGTGCTTCCTTGTGGACATCTCCTACACAGGTGAGAAACGGCTTGGATAGAACCATCTAGTCCTATTAATTTTAATGATCTTGAAGTTTGTAAACTTACTTTGTGAATTTCAGACACTTACGAACTCAGGGCTCAAAGCATTCCAAGTCTTAAAAGAGGAATTTGATCTTCCAAACCACATGTTATTTAGATATCTGCAGCTCCGGCATGCTCTACAGGCTCAATTACCTGTTCAGGCCCCTTCTCTCCAGTCCTTTTCCCTGATAGATAGTACAGGCACAGAACCCACTAAACTGATATCATTACTGTATACTGCACTTCGTACTCCCACGGGGGCACGTACAGTGGAATAGAGCTAAAACCTGCTGGGAGCTGGATGTTGGGCCTTTGGAAGTAGAGGAATGGGATGAGATACTGGAAGGCACTAAACAAGTTTCACCAAGGCTTACCTGATAGACTTACTCAGCGTTATATAGCACACCGAGCTTATCTAACCCCGTTTAGAGTTTCTAGATTTTGCCCGGAGCAGAGCCCTCTGTGCCTCTGTTGCTCAGGGGATACAGGTACTTTCTTCCATCTAATATGTACCTGTTCTTACATGACCATATGGGCGTCTTCTCCAATTAGACTAAATCATGTCTGCTGGTCCTCCTCCCAGATTTGGAAGAGGACAAGTTTCTTATCACTTTCTTACATGTAACCCTCTTGTTATGCGCCACTGGATGCAGGCTAAACCCCCCCCACCCTTTAAGCTTGGTTGATATAAGTCAACTCAACACTCCCTTATAAGAAAATGATGTATCTACACATGGGCTGTCCCATGAAGTATAATAATACATGGGATAGGAGGCTCAAAATGCCAAACACTTGTGTGACTTAAATGAGTCGGGAAGTTTAGGTCTAACCGTCCAGTCCCTCCCTCCAGTACTCCTCAAATTACATGAACCCTTGTGTGGGGAGACTGACATCATTATATTTTCTTTCCTAGTATAATGTTCCTACTGTCACTGCTTCAACAAATGCTTAACCTGTATATTTTGGTTGTGAACTGTGTATCACCTGTTGTGTACTATGGCATGCAACAGTACCAGTTTTTACTTTTTGTCAATAATGCTGCTTTTTTTGACAAAAAAAAAAAAATTACTTTGTGAAGATCCTCACGTTTACTTTGTTTAATTCCATGACACATATTTACTATTGGCTATATAACCTTTTTTTAGACTTCACAGTCATCCAACTTATGTGGGTATCTCTGCAGCCTGGTTTACTAATCATATGTTCTTTAAGCTGTATATTTGAGCAGATTGATACATTTTACATGGACATTATTTATATAAATTCTAATGTGGTGTACTCTTGTGCTTTTCTCCAGTCCATGCTACGAGGACATGCTAAAACAGTAAGTACATTACACAAAAGCAAATGCATGCCTATGTTTTAATTTGGCTCTTCTCTACATGCTCAAACAATGAAACGTTCTTTTCATAATCTGATTTTAAATAATTATTCCTGCTGGCTTCAGACTTTATTTTGGGATGAACTTCATTTGGATTCCTTGGATTGCAGAATTAATTTCCAGTGAACGGAGCATCACATGATTTTGCATTACTACTATAACTTCAGGATTTTATGCAGCCGGTATTGATTAAATATATGCTGTAAACCATTATATGTATTTCATAGTGTTGTGAGCTTAGTATTCTGGTCAATAAGTTGTGAGATTAGCATCCAGGTTCACAATGTTGGCAGGGCATCATCCAGGTTCACAATGTTGGCAGGGCAGCCTTCAGGTTCACAATGTTGGCAGAGCAGCATCCAGCTTCACAATGCTGCCAGGGTAACATCCAGGTTCACAATGTTGGCAGGGCAGCATCCAGGTTCACAATGTTGGCAGGGCAGCATCCAGGTTCACAATGTTGGCAAGGCAGCATCCAGGTTCACAATGTTTGCAGAGCAGCATCCAGCTTCACAATGCTGGCAGGGTAACCTCCAGGTTCACAATGTTGGCAGGGCAGAGCATCCAGGTTCACAATGTTGGCAAGGTAGCATCCAGGTTCACAATGTTGGCAAGGCAGCATCCAGGTTCACAGTGTTCGCAGAGCAGCTTCCAGCTTCACAATGCTGGCAGGGCAACATCCAGGTTCACAATGTTGGGAATTCGGCAGTTAGATTCACTGTATTGGCAGCTTAGGACCCAAGTTTACTGCTGGACGCTCAGATTCTGTTCTTTTCAGTGTTTCTACTTACCATAGGAGTGCTTATTACTCCTCTTTCATTCTCCATTATATAAATATCAGTTTAAAGAAGAATTCTGGGCAAAATGTTTTTTTTCTCCTATGTGTGGGGCTGTGCTCGTACTGCATAGGTTAACTGCTCCTTTTTGTCCAGGGTATTTCAGAGCGGAGCTATACCTACCTAATCCACCGAACCTCTGAGCGCAAGAACAGCCCACACCGCTCCTGTCTTTATAGCAGGCACATGCGCTCTGAAGGAAGGCATACTCATTACGTTCCTTCAGAGCACTGTGCCATGTCCCAAGACTTCTGTGTGCATGAGTGGAAGTGATGTCATCGCAGCTCGGCCAGTCAGACGGATGGAGCTCGAGAACCCGATAGGAAGGAAGACCAGGTGAAGATAGCAGCCCTGTCAGCGGAAACAGTGCGCTGCTGGAGGGCTTCACTTTAACCACTTGCCTACCGGACACTTATACCCCCTTCTTTACCAGGCCAATTTTCAGCTTTCAGCGCTGTCGCACTTTGACAACTGGGCGGTCATGCAAGATTGTACCCATATGAAATTTTTATCATTTTTTTTCTCACAATAGAGCTTTCTTTTGGTGGTATTTAATCGCCGCTGGGCACTTTACTTTATGCGCTATAAACAAAAAAATGCAAAAAATTTGAAAAAAAACATTTTTTTCTTTGTTTCTATTATAAAATTTTTCAAACAGGTAATTTTTCTCCTTCACTGATGTGCATTGATGAGGCAGCACTGATGGGCACTGATAGGCGGCACTGATGGGCACTGATAGGCAGCACTGATATGCAGCACTAAAGGGCACTGATAGACGGCACTAATGAGGTGGCAGGGATAGGCGGCACTGATAGGTGGCACTGATGATGGGTACTGATAGACAGCACTGATAGGTGGCAAAGACTGGCATCAATGCTGGGCACTGACTGGCGCAACTGCTAGGCATTGACTGGCGCAACTGCTGGGCACTGACTGGCAGCACTGCATTGATGGGCAGTGGTGGGTGGCACTGGTGGGCACAGGTAGGTGGCACAGGTGGGTGCACTGCTGGGCACAGGTGGGCGGAACTGGTGGGTGGCACTGCTGGGCACCGATCATCAGGGCACGGATCATCAGTGCCTTGATGATTGGTGCCGATCCCTGCACTGACAACTGCCGGTTCTCGGCAGTACTTTCCTCGCGCTCTGACAGCGTGAGGAAAGTGCAGCCGAGAACTGGCAATTGCATTTCCCGGTGATCAGCGTGTCATTGGACATGGCTGATCACGTGGTAAAAGGCCGCTGTGATTGGCCTTTTACCACATCACGTGATCAGCTGTGTCCCTAGGACACAGCGATCACGGAGATCGCCGGGTGCGCGCCCTCCTGGGGGCGCGCAGGAGAGCGCATTCTGGGAGAACATCATATGACGCCCTCCCAGAACTGGCCGGCAGCAGTGTAGCCGTCATTCGGCTGTCTGCAGTTGGCAAGTAGTTGAGGTAAGTCTTTCATAATGTTCTTGTATGTGTACATACTAGTACATTATGCCATTACCTTGCAGTGGATTTCTTTCTTTTTTTTTTTATTATCTGCGGTTTACTACCGCTTTAAGGTTTTAGAACCACTTTCCCCAGCATCTACCAGAAATGAATATGTCTGAGTGGACTGACCCTTTAAACATAATGCAGATACTTGGCACTAATGAAATGCTTTTTTCCACTACTAATGAAACCTTTAGTTGGGATACTTATCTGCATTTTCTGTTGTACTTTATTTTTTTACAGAGGATACAGGTGTCCGCTGTGCATGCGTTCAGTATTGGACATGTCACAGTACTGGCGCCGATTGGATGAAGAAGTGGCTCAAACACCAATGCCCTCGGAATATCAAAATATGACTGTCAATGTAAGTAATTAGATTATATTATTTTGGTTTGCATGCTCAGCATAACACCAACCTATCAATGCTGTGTCAGTTGAAGGCCACAGAAGCAGGTTAAACATTTTTTCAGCCTTCAGGGCTGGACTTGGCAACTAGATTTGTTGTGCCTTGCTAAAAATTGTGACTACATTGGCTTTAGCTGTGTCCCAAAATTGCCTGACAGCTCCACTGTGGCAGTGAAAGAGCATACTAGGTTTATCTCTGTAAAAAAAAAAAAAGATGCAGCACGACAAGTTTTGTGAGTAATACGTTTTTCAACGGCAAAACGGTAGCCCTGTTTATGGATGGCACTCAATAAATAGACATTGGGCGGCCGATTCACTGAGCAATCGATGTGTCATGAACTGTCATTAGAAAGTTCAGAACACAGAGACACTGTACCCACCCTATTCAAAGGGCTGGCATGGTAATGTGATCGCTGTGATTGATCAGCACAGCGATCACATGGTACTATCTACAGTACTGATCCCTCTCCTTCCACTTACAACAGGAGGAGAAATCAGTAGCTGCAGCTGCTGATCCATTTGTTCTGTTACAGTGACGCACAGATATTTTTTTTTTTTTCTTCTGCCTCTTTTCCTACACATACTATCACTAATACTGTACCTAGTGACCTGTAAATTAACCCTTCACCCCCTTTATCCTGCCCATCTGACATTAACACCTTCATCTCCATCCTCCCACTGTATGTTACCACTGCATTAATCCCTTTACTTCCTCCTTCCTGTGTGTATTACTTACAAGCTCCATGGTTAAGCCCCTTCGTACTGGCACATGACTTCAATTCCAAAAAAACTGGCAAAAAAATTAGATTACCTTGGGGGGGGGGTCTACTTTTCAGCTTACCATTTCTTAGATGTGATTGCTGCATTACATTTTTTTTCAAACTTTTTTCCTTTAGGCCTCATGCACAGGGGATGTTTTTGCAATCTCTCCTAGACGCTTTTTCTCCTGGCAGCAATGTTTTGGCAGAAAAAAACGCTTGGTGCTTGTAAACACATATGATGCGTTTAGGCATGTCATATGCGTGGGCGTTAATCCATTTCAATGGCCAGAATAATCATTTATTCTGGCAATTGAAATGGATTCGCACTCAAGCACTAAACGCTGATATCATTAACTTGCATGTAGACACATTTACACTGTCAAGCATTTTTTTCTGACAAAATGCTGCTGCTCCTGGTCTTGCTGCCAGTGGGGGTTTTTTCTGCCTCTAAATTACACTAAACAGTTATGTGTGCATGGACAGACAGGAAAACATAGAGGGGTGTTTAGAGGCAGGGGGAAAAAAAAAAAACAGACGCCCCTAACAGCAGCATCAAAAATGTCCAGTGTGCGTGTAGCTTTATTTTAATTTGCTGATTCTGTCAGTAGCACACTTCCAGTTCTAGGATGTCAATTCTCTCTTACCTCATTTTATCAGGACAACAGGACAGGAAACTGGGGACTACTGGGGACTCCCCCTGTCCTTTTGCATATAAGCTAGACAAGATCGGGTCCTATAGTGCCTTGAACAATATAACTGATAAGAGTGCAGCTCAGGCAGAGATCACAGGATGCTATCATTTGAAGATTTCTGAAAGGATCAACATGTATTTTTCACACTATTGCAGCAGATATACTAAGATGCTTTCAATAGTATATTTAATATTTACATCGTAAGCTTATGTCATTTTGGCACCAGCACCAATTTGTAAAAAAACTCTTAGTTGCCATAGCAGTCAGGAGTTTGTTTGGCTTTTTACACTGAGCTGTTGGCTTTGTAGTAGAAATTATTTTACAACTGCCCAATCATTTCTACGTCTTGATGCAGGTGCTGGCCAACATTTGCATCCACCCACCCTTGCAAAGTGTCCTGGACTTGCATATTCCTTCTGGTTGCCTGGGACCCCTCTATGGCACTCAGCTATGAGCATATCCAGGTTCAGAGCTGTCAAGTCTGGATTCAGCAGTTTTAACAAAGTGCAGAAGTGATATTACCTGTCTAATAGATCTCTGTCAGAATTACTGTGCTGTCACATGAGAACTTGTCAGCTACCTTCCTCTACCAATGAGGTTAAGCCAGGAAAAAAAGCTTCAAACGTATAGTTTATTAAAATACATTTAATGCCCCCCAAAATTTTACAGCCCTAAGCCCCCACATACACGCACATACAAACACACGTATTGGGTGCTGAGCATATGGAAAGTACAATTGTGCCACATTGCAGAGTGAGAACAATAATTCTAGGACCATCATTCACTTAACCCTAAATTGTTAAAGTCTTTTAAAGCATCATGTATGGACAATTTTGGGTACCATAGTTTTTTTCCATTTCATGAGCATTTCATGGGGGGGGGGGGTACAGTGGTGGATCATGTGTGCAGAGTGAGTACAGCGATGGAATGTGTGCTAATAGTGTAGTGGAAGCAAAACAGGTATACAGTGGTAGTGGAACATGTATTCAGGTTGGGTGCAGTGATGGTGGAACAGGGACATCCTTCCCACTGACCACCGGCATAAGGAGACATTCTTCCTATTGACCACTGATGTAAGAAGGGTATTCTTCCCACTTACTACCGACATAAGGGGGGCATTCCTTTTATCTGCAACAGACATAAGGGGGACAGTGTTCCTACTGATCACCACCGTAAGGTGGACATTTTTCCCACTGAATCCCAATAAATTTGGTTTTAGTAGGGGTTACTCTGAGACCTTAAAATTATTTTAGGGATTCCTGTGGGGTGAAATGTTGAGAAAAACTGCTTTTAAATTAATAAGTGATATAGCGTGGAACAGCTGCCTTTCCAGCTGCTGTAGAACTACAATTTATACTGTGCCACCATACATGCCATTCCATGTTAATCAATCTTTAGTTACCACAACTGCTGGTAGAACAGTCTTTAGTGACCCCACTGGAGGTAGAATTCCTCTCACTTCCTGTCCCTGTGACACAACTGCAGGGAGACTGCTTGTTTCTGTGACACCACTGGAGGGAGTCTTCCCCGCACTTTCTGACCCTGTGCTTTCACTGGAGGGAGACGTTCTGTTTCTGTGACACCACTGGAGGATGACTTCCCCTCACTTCCTGACCCTGTGACTTCACTGGAGGGAGACTTCCTGTTTCTGTGACACCCCCCCCCCCCCCATTGGAGGGGGAGGCGTCCTGACCCTGTGACCCCACTGGAAGGAGACTTCCTGTTTCTATAACCCACTGGAGGGAGACTCCCTGACCCTGTGACGCCACTGGACGCCACTGGAGGGAGACTCCCTGACCCTGTGACGCCACTGGAGGGAGACTCCCTGACCCTGTGACGCCACTGGAGGGAGACTCCCTGACCCTGTGACGCCACTGGAGGGAGACTCCCTGACCCTGTGACGCCACTGGAGGGAGACTCCCTGACCCTGTGACGCCACTGGAGGGAGACTCCCTGACCCTGTGACGCCACTGGAGGGAGACTCCCTGACCCTGTGACGCCACTGGAGGGAGACTCCCTGACCCTGTGACGCCACTGGAGGGAGACTCCCTGACCCTGTGACGCCACTGGAGGGAGACTCCCTGACCCTGTGACGCCACTGGAGGGAGACTCCCTGACCCTGTGACGCCACTGGAGGGAGACTCCCTGACCCTGTGACGCCACTGGAGGGAGACTCCCTGACCCTGTGACGCCACTGGAGGGAGACTCCCTGACCCTGTGACGCCACTGGAGGGAGACTCCCTGACCCTGTGACGCCACTGGAGGGAGACTCCCTGACCCTGTGACGCCACTGGAGGGACTCCCTGACTCCCACTGACTCCCTGTGACCCTGTGACCACTGGAGGGAGACTCCCTGACCCTGTGACGCCACTGGAGGGAGACTCCCTGACCCTGTGACGCCACTGGAGGGAGACTCCCTGACCCTGTGACGCCACTGGAGGGAGACTCCCTGACCCTGTGACGCCACTGGAGGGAGACTCCCTGACCCTGTGACGCCACTGGAGGGAGACTCCCTGACCCTGTGACGCCACTGGAGGGAGACTCCCTGACCCTGTGACGCCACTGGAGGGAGACTCCCTGACCCTGTGACGCCACTGGAGGGAGACTCCCTGACCCTGTGACGCCACTGGAGGGAGACTCCCTGACCCTGTGACGCCACTGGAGGGAGACTCCCTGACCCTGTGACGCCACTGGAGGGAGACTCCCTGACCCTGTGACGCCACTGGAGGGAGACTCCCTGACCCTGTGACGCCACTGGAGGGAGACTCCCTGACCCTGTGACGCCACTGGAGGGAGACTCCCTGACCCTGTGACGCCACTGGAGGGAGACTCCCTGACCCTGTGACGCCACTGGAGGGAGACTCCCTGCCTGACCCTGTGACGCCACTGGAGGGGAGACTGCCTGACCCTGTGACGCCACTGGAGGGAGACTGCCTGACCCTGTGACGCCACTGGAGGGAGACTCCCTGCCTGACCCTGTGACGCCACTGGAGGGAGACTCCCTGCCTGACCCTGTGACGCCACTGGAGGGAGACTCCCTGCCTGACCCTGTGACGCCACTGGAGGGAGACTCCCTGCCTGACCCTGTGACGCCACTGGAGGGAGACTCCCTGCCTGACCCTGTGACGCCACTGGAGGGAGACTCCCTGCCTGACCCTGTGACGCCACTGGAGGGAGACTCCCTGCCTGACCCTGTGACGCCACTGGAGGGAGACTCCCTGCCTGACCCTGTGACGCCACTGGAGGGAGACTCCCTGCCTGACCCTGTGACGCCACTGACCCTGCCTGACCCTGTGACGCCACTGGAGGGAGACTCCCTGCCTGACCCTGTGACGCCACTGGAGGGAGACTCCCTGCCTGACCCTGTGACGCCACTGGAGGGAGACTCCCTGCCTGCCACTGTGACGCCACTGGAGGGAGACTCCCTGCCTGACCCTGTGACGCCACTGGAGGGAGACTCCCTGCCTGACCCTGTGACGCCACTGGAGGGAGACTCCCTGCCTGACCCTGTGACGCCACTGGAGGGAGACTCCCTGCCTGACCCTGTGACGCCACTGGAGGGAGACTCCCTGCCTGACCCTGTGACGCCACTGGAGGGAGACTCCCTGCCTGACCCTGTGACGCCACTGGAGGGAGACTCCCTGCCTGACCCTGTGACGCCACTGGAGGGAGACTCCCTGCCTGACCCTGTGACGCCACTGGAGGGAGACTCCCTGCCTGACCCTGTGACGCCACTGGAGGGAGACTCCCTGCCTGACCCTGTGACGCCACTGGAGGGAGACTCCCTGCCTGACCCTGTGACGCCACTGGAGGGAGACTCCCTGCCTGACCCTGTGACGCCACTGGAGGGAGACTCCCTGCCTGACCCTGTGACGCCACTGGAGGGAGACTCCCTGCCTGACCCTGTGACGCCACTGGAGGGAGACTCCCTGCCTGACCCTGTGACGCCACTGGAGGGAGACTCCCTGCCTGACCCTGTGACGCCACTGGAGGGAGACTCCCTGCCTGACCCTGTGACGCCACTGGAGGGAGACTGACCCTGTGCCCTGGAGGGAGACCCTGTGACTGTGACGCCACTGGAGGGAGACTCCCTGCCTGACCCTGTGACGCCACTGGAGGGAGACTCCCTGCCTGACCCTGTGACGCCACTGGAGGGAGACTCCCTGCCTGACCCTGTGACGCCACTGGAGGGAGACTCCCTGCCTGACCCTGTGACGCCACTGGAGGGAGACTCCCTGCCTGACCCTGTGACGCCACTGGAGGGAGACTCCCTGCCTGACTCCCTGCCTGACCCTGTGACGCCACTGGAGGGAGACTCCCTGCCTGACCCTGTGACGCCACTGGAGGGAGACTCCCTGCCTGACCCTGTGACGCCACTGGAGGGAGACTCCCTGCCTGACCCTGTGACGCCACTGGAGGGAGACTCCCTGCCTGACCCTGTGACGCCACTGGAGGGAGACTCCCTGCCTGACCCTGTGACGCCACTGGAGGGAGACTCCCTGCCTGACCCTGTGACGCCACTGGAGGGAGACTCCCTGCCTGACCCTGTGACGCCACTGGAGGGAGACTCCCTGCCTGACCCTGTGACGCCACTGGAGGGAGACTCCCTGCCTGACCCTGTGACGCCACTGGAGGGAGACTCCCTGCCTGACCCTGTGACGCCACTGGAGGGAGACTCCCTGCCTGACCCTGCCTGACCCTGTGACGCCACTGGAGGGAGACTCCCTGCCTGACCCTGTGACGCCACTGGAGGGAGACTCCCTGCCTGACCCTGTGACGCCACTGGAGGGAGACTCCCTGCCTGACCCTGTGACGCCACTGGAGGGAGACTCCCTGCCTGACCCTGTGACGCCACTGGAGGGAGACTCCCTGCCTGACCCTGTGACGCCACTGGAGGGAGACTCCCTGCCTGACCCTGTAGACTCCCTGACGCCACTGGAGGGAGACTCCCTGCCTGACCCTGTGACGCCACTGGAGGGAGACTCCCTGCCTGACTGTGACGCCACTGGAGGGAGACTCCCTGCCTGACCCTGTGACGCCACTGGAGGGAGACTCCCTGCCTGACCCTGTGACGCCACTGGAGGGAGACTCCCTGCCTGACCCTGTGACGCCACTGGAGGGAGACTCCCTGCCTGACCCTGTGACGCCACTGGAGGGAGACTCCCTGCCTGACCCTGTGACGCCACTGGAGGGAGACTCCCTGCCTGACCCTGTGACGCCACTGGAGGGAGACTCCCTGCCTGACCCTGTGACGCCACTGGAGGGAGACTCCCTGCCTGACCCTGTGACGCCACTGGAGGGAGACTCCCTGCCTGACCCTGTGACGCCACTGGAGGGAGACTCCCTGCCTGACCCTGTGACGCCACTGGAGGGAGACTCCCTGCCTGACCCTGTGACGCCACTGGAGGGAGACTCCCTGCCTGACCCTGTGACGCCACTGGAGGGAGACTCCCTGCCTGACCCTGTGACGCCACTGGAGGGAGACTCCCTGCCTGACCCTGACGCCACTGGAGGGAGACTCCCTGCCTGACCCTGTGACGCCCACTGGAGGGAGACTCCCTGCCTGACCCTGTGACGCCACTGGAGGGAGACTCCTGCCCCCTGTGACGCCACTGGAGGGAGACTCCCCCTTCCTTCCTGTCCCTGTCACCCCACTGGTGGGAGACTCCCCCTTCCTTCCTGTCCCTGTCACCCCACTGGTGGGAGACTTCCCCTTCCTTCCTGTCCCTGTCACCCTACTGGTGGGAGACTTTCTGTTTCCCAAGTCGTCTTCCAGTACATTCCACAAGACATATAGCTCCTCCCACAGGACAGGAAACACATTACCCCACAGAGAATAAAAGGCTGTCCCCCAAGCCTCAGTTTTTAGTGTTTCCTCTGGATGGGGGTAACATGTTTCCTGGAACCATGTGAAAAAGTTATCTCCCCAGGGCTGGCTGGAAGCTTGGTTGGGGGGGGGGGGGGGGGGGGGGTTCACTCAGAATTCTTTGTGTTCTAGCCCTGTGGTACTCTCCTGTAGGGATGGTTGGAGACTAGGCTGCAATGGTATGAGCCTTCCTAGGGCCCGGGGAGGACTGGTACGGTGGTGACATTACCTCAGTTAGTTCATGTCCCCCTGCCCGTGGAGGGAAGTAAGGTGGTCTCCGTTCTGTGGAGGTGTCAGCAGTTGTGTTCCGCTGCTGCCCAACCTTCCTCCTTGTGCGGTGGGGGGCAGAACTTCTGCATTCCAGGCTGGCTCCGGATGTTGTAGTGACAAAATTTCTCGGAGGCCGGAGACATCATTGGTTCCGATCCCCATTTGAAAAAGGGTGCAGGGTTGACTGTTCAGGCAGCTGGTGTGGTGGTCTTCACTACAGCAGAGGCTGAAATGGAGAGACCGGTGGCTATGGATCCTCCCACGGCTGCTACCCAGATGGTTAATTCTGGGTAAGCAAGCACCAACTCCTCACAGGTAAAGACAATGGGGAGGGCTCCCAGATGTATGCCTGTGTAGGTTCTTATTTCTGTCACATACAGCTCCTGGGGTGATGGGGGCTGTTTTTTTGACAGAGCACATTTTCCCCTTCTGCTAGAGCACATGGTGTGTTATCTAGTGAGATTTGTAGTGGCTGAAGGTCCCCTTCTGTTATTTGTCTCACTTCCAAACCCTGTGACCCCACTGGAGGGAGACTTCCTGTTTCTGTGACCTCCCTGGAGGGAGACTTCCTGTTTCTGTGACCTCACTGGAGGGAGACTTCCTGTTTCTGTGACCTCACTGGAGGGAGACTTCCTGTTTTCCTGTTTCTGTGACCTCACTGGAGGGAGACTTCCTGTTTCTGTGACCTCACTGGAGGGAGACTTCCTGTTTCTGTGACCTCACTGGAGGGAGACTTCCTGTTTCTGTGACCTCACTGGAGGGAGACTTCCTGTTTCTGTGACCCCACTGGAGGGAGACTTCCTGTTTCTGTGACCCCACTGGAGGGAGACTCTTTTTCTGTGACCCCACTGGAGGGAGACTCTTTTTCTGTGACCCCACTGGAGGGAGACTTCCTGTTTCTGTGACCCTACTGGAGGGAAACTTCCCCTCACTTCTTGACCCTGTCACACCACTGGAGGGAGACTTCTTGTTTCTGTGACCCCAGTTGATGAGACTTCTTGTTTCTGTGACCCCCACTGTAGGGAGACTTCCCCTCAATTCCTGACCCTTGCACAGAAACAGCCATAAAAACATCAGAGGTTTAACACATTCCTTGCTGTACTATAAATGTGTTCTTGTCTGTGACCCCTTGAGGTATGTTTCTAGTCATCTGCTGTAGTATGACTACAGTCTCTGATCAATTAGTTTATCTGCTGTTGTGGCTGGAGGGGAAGAGATCACATGTGAAGATAGCAGCCACAGTTAGTAACAGAAATCTTAGAGGAGGGAGAATTCAATATTTGATTAAAATAGACTACATAGAATGAACTAAATATTTGGCACATGCATGCTTTACATTTATAAGATTGTCACCTAACTGTCCTGCTGTGTGGTGCTGAGCAGTGTGGCTGGAGAATTTATGTGAGGCACACATAAATGTGGGGCAGTGATTTATGTTGGAAGTGGGTGAGTACACATTTAACATGTACAGGCCTAATGTACCCAACCACATTCAATGCAATTCCCAGAGGTTGATGGGAACTATAGTTTCCTTTTACTGCAAAGAGAGAGGAGAGGAGATGATGTCATCCCTGCTGTTACACCTCCTCCCTGGCAGAGCAGATGCTGTTATCTTTTGAATTACAGAGATGACTTCCTGAAAATTCAGTTAGACTTTTCTCTTCAATGGTAAGGAATTTCTCAAATGTATTAACTGTTTAGTGTTTTGTGTAGGGTGGTGTACTAAAAGGTGTTTTTTTTTGCCTATTCTGGAGTTCTTCTTTAACATGTACAACAAATGGCTCCAGCAGAAAGAGAGTTAGCAGATCCAAAGGATCATTCATTGTTAGAGGATCATGCACTTCAAATGTTTGCTTATTACAGTTCCTACATAAAACATTTATGTAAATAGGCTTAGGTTGCAAAGGACAGTTTAATCTCCATTTGATGCTCCACATTAAACATTCAGTGTACTTGCATCTAACAAATCTATTTACACGAATATATATTTTTCATCCATACAGATTCTTTGCAATGACTGCAGTAAAAGATCTACGGTGCCCTTCCACGTTCTGGGGATGAAATGCGAGATCTGCAAGTCATACAATACCACACAAGAAGGGAAACTTCTATCACAGTCCGCAACTCCATAACCTCAAATGTTGTTCAGTTGTTTTAAAAACAGAATGCTATATTACCTAACTCTGGTCCTCCAAGAACACTGAAAACAGTCAGGAAAATATATTTCTCAGATGAACATGTAGATGAAACTCAATTGATAGTTGTAATTGTTGCCAGTTATTTAAAGGTTCTGCTGTGTTAATTGCTGAGGACTGTTACCACCAAACAAAAGAAGGGCATCTGACCTTTGATCATAATCATAGCAAAATTAGGATAAATGACAAGAGGAAGAAGTATAGGAAAAGAGCTTGGCAATATAATTAGAAAACGTGAGAAATGATTGTTGCAACATATTAGTAAAGATTACTAGTAGATGTAGAGTCCAAAGTAAGGGCTTGTGCACACAGGTCTGTGGTTGGCTTTTAACATCAGATGTGTAATGCAGTGTTTTAGTTTTGAATAGGATCTTAAGGGACTGTATACACACTAATTTTACATGCCCCTGTACACTAAACCTAAAAGAGCCCTTGCTAAATTGACTCTCAGAGATTTTTAATTCTGCACTAATATGTGCATCATATTGTGCTTCTGTAAGTTCAAATTAAAGGTACTACTTTTTGTTTTCTTTTTTTTATTATTTTACAATATATTGCTACACATGCCATCTTGTAACTTAACAATATTCAAAACTACCCTTCTGTTTCAATCTTCAGTAAACTATGATCTGCTAAACAATTCAGAGTTACCTCTTTGGCAACCGTGGGGAAATTGGCATGCTGCTTGTGTAGAAACAGTTAGGAAATCTCATTACCTGCATGCATAACTGCTTCACTGCTTTCCCCCAAAATCTGCACAAAGCTGAAGCTTTGTCAATTCTGTGCTGCAGTGAGCTATTCATTGTTGGTGAGATAATACCAAAAGTACTGCATGTATGAAGGGATGTGAGATGCTAGTTTTCTTTTTTTATAAAAATGTAAGACTGTTTATAGCAGGCAGACCGTTGGTGGAAAAAACCAACTAAGTATCCAGAGAATAGAGACAAAGGTGGAGTTTCTCCTTAAGTGATCGATAGCCTAGCAATGTCTTTGTCTTTGAACTAGACTACTGCAGTTGGATTTCCATTTTCAGTTGTGGAACTACTGTAAGACAACCAGCTTGGTGTATTTTGTTCAAATACTAATTGTGCATTTTAAATGAACAGCTGAGCCTTTTTGCAGCCATTGGTATGTGGCTGACATTCAAGAACTGTTTAAAAAGACTGTCAGCAACCCATGCCTACTAAGATAGGTTCTCTAATTTCTCTTGTTAAGGTACTCATATAAGCATATTCTAGGCTGTATTTTATAGATGATTTGCCCCACTGTGTTGAAAATTTCTAGAATGGCTTCCTACAATTTCCAGAGGCATGTAGCTGAGGTCCTGGCAGAAGGGGGTCAGGGAAGATCTACATTACGTATTTGCAGATTGTGTGAGGCTTCTTCAGTCCCTGTCAGGACCTTGGCTAGCCTCAAGTCTGGGGAGTGGGGCAGCTGCATGCATCTGGAAAGCAAAGAATCCATAGCGTCAGAGGTGATTAAAAAAGAAGTGGTCTATTTTGGTCACAGCAAGGGCAAATATTTTTCAACCAAATACAGCCTAGTATTTGTTTATGTGAGTATTTTAACGTGAGATGCTTATCTTAATTGGCATGGTATGATGAGAGGGTCTCTTTAAGGGGACCTGCCTGGAATGAATTGATGTTGCCACTACAGCCTCGTCTACCATCCACCCAGAATATCTCCAACACCGGAGCAAGGTGTACAATGGGTTGCTTAGTATAATTTCCTAGAGGGTAGGTGGGCTACCATCAGATATTTCCCTGAATGGACAAAATAAGTGTCTCTTTAATCGCTGATCTGCGATGGGGATGCGCATATGATGAACTGATATTCTGTTTCAGCGGCAGTGGCCTACCAAGTAGTGAAAGAACTGTACTGTTGACAGCTTTGGAGTAGGCAGTTTAAAAACAAGTCCGTTATGGCAGCTTCCATACTTCATTCTCCATACCTCAAGTACGAACAAACTCCATCAGATGATGTATATCCATTAAACTGGATAAAATTTGTTTGGTTTTTTTTTTTTTGTTCCTTCAAATTGTTTTTCATTGTAAGTTTAGAAATTTAGCAATAGTTAAGAACTTTATTTTGTTGAAGATTCCTTTATAATAAATATTTATTCGGCAAAAATGTTATTACGGGGTACTGTGGTATTTTTTTTCCAAATAGTTCTTTATAAGTGTTTGTCACTCTATGGTTATTATATACAGTTGTAATGTCAGTGTGAAGTTATGACTCTATTTAAATTCAGATGCCAGAAGGCCAGTGGGCTACAGATGAATCTATTATTAGCACTGGGAGTATACAAGATCTGGTAAAACTTTTTGTAGCTTCAAGACTGGGCCATTGGCCTACAGTGATTGTATTCATGATAGATACAGGTAATTTATGTAAGGCAGGGGAACTATAGTGACCCTCTGTAGAGCAGTGTTGGCACAAAATGCACAATTGTGTTACCTAAGACTGAGAGGGTTATGAGAGTTCATTAGAAATCTTTGTCTTACCAATAAGCCAGAGGCATAGGTGTCTGCAGCACACCTCCCTGCTTTATATACACAAAACATAAATGGTTGCCTGATTTACAGGTGAAACTCGAAAAATTAGAATATCGTGCAAAAAGTTCATTTATTTCAGTAATGCAACTTAAAAGGTGAAACTAATATATGAGAGAGACTCATTACATGCATAGCAAGATAGTTCAAGCCGTGATTTGTCATAATTGTGATGATTATGGCTTACAGCTCATGAAAACCCCAAATCCACAATCTCAGAAAATTAGACTATTACATGCAATCAATAAAACAAGGATTGTACTTATCGGACAAACAATATCGGACCTCTGAAAAGTATAAGCATGCATATGTACTCGGTACTTGGTTTGGGCCCCTTTTGCAGCAATTACTGCCTCAATGTGGTGTGGCATGGAAGCTATCAGCCTGTGGCACTGCTGAGGTGTTATGGAAGACCAGGATGCTTTAATAGCGGCCTTCAGCTCTTCTGCATTGTTTGGTCTCATGTCTCTCATCTTTCTCTTGGCAATGCCCTATAGATTCTCTATGGGGTTCAGGTCAGGTGAGTTTGCTGGCCAATCAAGCACAGTAATCCCATGGTCATTGAACCAGGATTTGGTGCTTTTGGCAGTGTGGGTAGGTGCCAAGTTCTGCTGGAAAATGAAGTCAGCATCCCCATAAAGCTCGTCTGTGGAAGGAAGCATGAAGTGCTCCAAAATCTCCTGGTAGACGGTTGCGTTGACCCTGGACTTAATGAAGCACAGTGGACCAACACCAGCAGATGACATGGCTCCCCAAATTAACACAGACTGTGGAAACTTCACACTGGACTTCATGCATCTTGCAGTGTGTGCCTCTCCATTCTTCCTCCATACTCTGAGTCTTTGGTTCCCAAATGAGATGCAAAAGTTGCTCTCATCAGAAAAGAGGACTTTGGACCACTGAGCAACAGACCAGGTCTGTTTTTCTTTAGCCCAGGTAAGACGTTTCTGATGTTTGTTGTTCAGGAGCGGCTTGACAAGAGGAATACCACATTTAAAGCCCATGTCCAGGATCCGTCTGTGTGTGGTGGCTCTTGATGCACTGACTCCAGCCTCAGTCCACTCCTTGTGAAAGTCCCCAACACTTTTGAATGGCCTTTTCCTGACAATCCTCTAGGCTGCGGTCATCCCTGTTGCTTGTGCACCTTTTTCTTCCACACTTTTCCCTTCCACATAACTTTCTATTAATGTGCTTTGATATAGCACTTTGGGAACATCCAACTTCTTTTGTAATTACCTTTTGAGGCTTTCCCTCCTTATGGAGGGTGTCAGTAATGGTTTTCTGCACAATTGTCAGGTCAACAGTCTTTCCCATGATTGTGATTCCTACTGAACCAGACTGAGAGACCATTTAAAGGCTCAGGAACCCTTTGGAGGTGTTATGGCTTAATTAGCTGATTAGAGTGGGACACTTTGAGCCGAGAATATTGCACCTTTTCACAATATTCAAATTTTCTGAGATTGTGGATTTGGGGTTTTCATGAGCTGTAAGCCATAATCATCACAATTATGGCAAATCACGGCTTGAACTATCTTGCTTTGCATGTAATGAGTCTATCTCATATATTAGTTTCACCTTTTAAGTTGCATTACTGAAATAAATGAATATTTGCACGATATTCTAATTTTTCGAGTTTCACCTGTATATCTCAGGATGTGCTGAGTGGCACAGATACCTATGGGCATTAAGATCATGATTCCACATCTAATAGCCTTCTGCTGTCTATGGCTAGTTTTAGAATCCTGTGTAGGATATTTCTATCTCAAAACATGCCTTACTACAATTCCTGCTATAATAATGTATTGTTTGTTTTTCCACTCTGTAGCACTACTGGATCATGCACTGAATGAATGCTCTGCATGTTCACATGCTTAATCCAACCCTTGTGAATCAACACACACAGCACTTGAAGTGTAAAGTAACAAAAATAAACAATATGGTAAAATGTCCCACCAATTAAACTGTTTTTGCCAACATCCCAATATATATAGACTAAGAAAAGCTAGAAATATTCCCCTGGGACTTTGTATGGCAAAAACCACAAGTATACAATAAAACAGTAATGTTTTTATTACAAAAGATTAAACAATAAAACAAATCAAAAGATTCAATATAGTAACTTGTGGTACAATGATTCATATATCACATACAGAACATGCATAGTGTGCATAAAACCTGACAGTCTGTAGTACATCAACTGGAAAATGGGTTGAAGGCCCAAGAGCTATTACAGTGATGATGTTCAGACAAACCAACATGTTTCGGAACTCTCATTTCCTCCTTCAGGGACTATGTCAGGTCTAGAACATAACATCATATCAAATGAATGTAAACCATATAGTACATATTTTAAAAAGTATGTAAGAAAGAGCTGGTTACTCAAAC